TACCCAGCTCTCTAACAGTATCTGACAGGAAATCCTTTAATTGTTCTATATAACACAACATGAACGTTGTCCTTGTGGAGACAGTGACACCAGTGAGCTGGTCTCTGTCCTTCCACCTTGTTTGTGTTGCTCTGTGCTTTGAAAGTGAGTTTGTTGAAGTCTTGGTACGTGTCCAAACAAGATGCTGCTGCTCCCTGTTTCTTGAACTGGGAGAGGAACAGGTATGATGTGTGAATGTGCTTAATGGATGCTAACTGTGCTGATGGCACTTAGTTAAAAAATACTGTGGCTAAAACCTGTACTCACTTGATTCTTTGCAGAAGAAGTACGTATAATCACTTAAGCAGCTGGCTGACAGATGCAAGGAATCTCACCAATCCAAATACTGTAAGTTGGACTCTATTTAGCTTGAAAGCAAGAGATGGAAGGCTTAGGCCAAGCATCTGCAGTGATAGCAGTGCTCTTTAGAAGGAGCTGCCTCTGTTTCTCAGCTACTTAGTTCTGAATGCCCTCGCTCTCCAGCAGATCAGAAGCTCTTCCCTTACTGCAGTTGGTGCAGAAATGCAGGTTTTTGTGCAGGAGAACAATGGCTTGTTTCAAAAATCTTACTGTGCTTTACTTCTTGGGGGCCTTTTTCCAACTGTTGGAGACCAAAATTATGGTAACCTCTGAAAAGAGCTTAACTTCTGTTCCTACTGCTCAGTGCCTTGTGGTAACGAGGTGAATTGGATGTAAACTGAATCCTGAGCAGAAGCTGTCCTGCTTTTTGGTGGAGTAGGAAGGAGGGCTGTTCTGCATCTTTCTGGCTAAGCAACAAACCTGTTGTCCTTCAGTCTTCTTGTGAATGACTCTGAAATGCTTTAGAACCAAGCTTTTGGGAAGACTCCCTGCTGCAGTGGAAGAGAACTTGTAAAGATTCTGGTTGGGTCAGCAGGCGACCAAACGCGAGATGTCCAATTTCAGGACTGAGCCGTAGGGCTGCTGCTTTCTAGGACCTCATCTCATGAGAAGGCTGAAAGAATTGAAGGTAGCAGCTGTTCTGACCATAGAGGGGCACTGCTGGAGCAGCACTGCCCTGAGCATACATGAGTTCTGCAGTTATGCTATTTCACGTTTCCTTTTTATTTTTCATCTTTTCTAGTAAAGAGGGTAGTAGTGATGAAGCTAACGAGCTTTTTCTCAGGCTAATTTTCTCTCTTCTGCCCTAGGTGATAATCCTCATAGGAAATAAAGCAGATCTGGAAGCACAGAGAGATGTTACATATGAAGAAGCCAAACAATTTGCTGAAGAAAATGGTGTGTTTTTCTTTTTTCTCTTGAGCCATTGTTTCCTATGTGATAGTGACATTAAAGTGAACAGCTTACAAAGTTATGTTGTTATATGTGCAAACTCCTGTGGTGCCTCAGTGTAACTCCATCTGCTTAGCTTTGGAAGTCAGCTTGTGTACTGATGATGCCCCAGCTTTGTCATAAAATATCGTGGAGTACTGAAGTAGCCTTTTGCACAGAACTGAACGCCATAACGTGACTATTTGGGACTCTTAATGCATTGACTGACAGTTAAATTTCTGTTTCTAAACAGGTTTATTGTTCCTTGAAGCAAGTGCAAAAACGTAAGTTACTTCTTCCCAGAGTAATGTGTCAGATGTTATGTTTAAAAAGAATATATTGGTTATGGGTGAATGCAGCCACAAGGTTCAAGTGTAGCACTGTTCTACAAGCAAAAAAAAATCAGTTTGTTTTAGCTAGAGCTTGTTTCAGCCTCAGATGGATGAGTGTGTGGCTAATGGGGGTCCAAGAAGCCGTGACTTCCCTCAGGCCTTTCCAGCTCTCCAAGGGAGCGCTCAGCTCTTCATCTCACAAAGGAGGCACCACGCGGTGCTCTTGTAGGCTCTGATGGTTGGAGAGCCTGACAGAATGCAAGGGAGCGGATCTCCATGATGCAGGATGTTCCAGCTGGCACCTGTTCTAACAGAGCTTCCTAACAAAGTGGTTTGGACTAACAAATGCTCCGCTGTCCTTTGACCTTTCAGAGCTGTTCTGGACGTACAGCTCGGTGCCTCAGCTTATTGCTGACACTCAGTGTTCAGGTACAGAGTGGTGTTCAGGGCTCCTCCTAATGGCTGTAACGGCTAGAGACTGAGTTACTGTTAGACCTCATAGCCTGTCTGCTTTTAAATACTGTGAGTTCTGTTGCTTGAGACAGAAGCAGTGAGGACATCCAGCCAACTGCCTGTACCGCCTGTGTTGCTTTGCTGAAGTGTAACCTAAGTAACTCCTGCTGCTCTTCTTGTAGTGGAGAGAATGTTGAGGATGCATTCCTGGAGGCTGCCAAGAAAATCTACCAGAATATCCAAGATGGAAGCCTGGATCTGAACGCTGCAGAGTCGGGTGTACAGCACAAACCATCAGCTCCGCAGGGGGGGCGGCTAACCAGCGAACCCCAGCCCCAGAGAGAAGGCTGTGGCTGCTAGTGACCTCTTTCATGGCTTCATTTCTGACCTTTCACCTCTGTCTGTTGGGAGCAGTGCTTTTGATTGCTTCCCTGTCTTCTGTACATCTTATTGGGTTTAATTAAAACTGAAACAAGTTTAACACAGTACTAAACTGCTAAACAACTTTAGATGTAATCAGGTTATCAAAGGCAAGTAGAGTAATAAAACCTCTCCTGCATGGTGAATCTAGAAGTTTTTTTTCCTTGATTGTCCTTGTGATAGTGTCACAGATACATAATTTAAACTGAGCACTGATGCTGGACTCATGATTTTACACTTTTGCAGGGCTTTGTCTCGTACGGTTTAATTTTATGGTTCTTCAGCCTTTCTTCCCCACCTCTTAACTGTGTAGAGCTGTCCATAGTAAAGGATAAGTTTTTGGTTTTGTTTTGTTTTTTTTTTTTTTTTGCTGTGAAATGACTTCTGATGGTAGAAAGGGGCTCCGTACCAATGTGCTTTGTTGGAAGAATTCCCCATGTGTGCATGTTGGGGGCAGGGGGTGGCGCAGGAGTGCACACCTTGCACAGGGAAGCAAACATTCACTCTTGTGCTCATAGCTTTACATCATTTTTTGCCACTTTTATCCATTTGCTAACAGAACGTAAATATGTATAAAATTTGAAGGAACTGAGCTAACAGTGAAATACATCCTGTGTATATGATTTTAATGAAGAAAATGATTACTGGCATTAGAACAGTATATAAGAAAATATCAGTTGTACAGTATGACCTGTATGTGACCACGCTGCCCATCAGTACAGACATGGTGTAACTGCAGTTCACTACCAGCAGCTTAACGCCTTGGTGTTGACAGTGGACATTGTGCTGGGGAACTCCAGCCCCAGTGCCGAAATTAACACTAGTGGAATCTGTCCTTCATCTTTGCACTGTGGTATATCTATGCCATGTTATTAATCCTGTTCTGTGCAATCAGCAGTGTGCTAACCTGCTTTTTTCTTCTGTAAGCATTTCGCATTATTGGGCTTCATGACCTGCCTTGCTTTGTGTACCAAGGCCGGTTCTCTTGCACATCTTATGCTTTTATACCTTTAACTTTTGAATGGTCAGATACCGAACTGGACAGTCAGAACAACTTGTGCTCTCTAGGGAGTTGTAGCTACTGTTGTATTTTAACACTACAGCTGAGGGCTGCTTCTGGGGCAGGTTTCTTCTTGAAGAGTGCCACCCTCCTGTGTAGCAATGTGCTACTTGTGTAAAGGGGAGACAGCAAAACCCACGCGTGTACACGACAACTGAGTGGGATTTACTGTGCTGTCAGGACTAGAATGTGTCACTATGCAGCACTGTATGTCACGTGTAGCTTCAAGAATACGCTGAGTACAGTTTCAAAAAGGAAAGGGTGTTTAACCACCATCAGGTGTCCAACTTCTAGTCTTACTGCAGTGTTGAAAATACAAAGTAGTCTTAAATTCCTTTTCTAGACACTAAAACTATAAACTGTTTGGACATGTAAGTCAACAGTGGTACCAGAGTATTGTACAGTCAATGTTAAATAAAAGCCAAAAAAACTGGAATGTGCAGACAATAGGATTTGGGTAACTTGTTTGTGCGCTGTCCCTTCGTTTTGTCTGGTTAGTTTTTTTTAACTAGTACTCTCTAGTAGATGGTGTTTGAGCTCTACAGCTGATGCGTCCTGCTTAAACCAAGGTTGCACCACAGCGGGGTTTGCCCAGGGACCAGGACCTGCTGCTGCCATGAAGTGTGGAAGTAAATGTTCTAATGACTACAGCTTGTTGAGGTGCAATACCTGTATTCCCAGAATAAGTTACAGTAGGCCTTATTGTTTCTGTCACAGAAAGGATTTGTTTGGACTGCTGTACTCCTCATTTGATGTAACGATGCTATTAATCTAAATATTTGTAAATAAAGTACCTGTATCTAGATAAACTGCAGTGCCTTGTGTTAATTGCTCTGCCCTTCTCTACTTGTGCTGTGCCTTACGGCTGCAGTTCTTCACTCCTGCCTTCCTGGCCTATTTTCTGCCTGCCCCATTCCCCTGGCTTGCAAATGCTGCAGTGTGGACACTTCTGCTTTGGGTGCTGGGGAAAGCTGTTAGAAGAGAGAAGTTACACAAGATTCCCTTCTAAGGGAGGCAGTTGTACTTTAACTGCTTTTGTTAACTTTTAAGAGGGGCCTTAGGAGTAAAATGCGATAGGCTGCTTTTGCTTTTCTGCTTCCCTAAAGCCTTCCTCGGGCTGTAACAGGCCTGGGGGAAGTGGGGAGTGTGATTATTGCTGCCAGAGGTGGCAGGTGATGATGATCACGTAGATGAGAGGGCAAGGTGGAAAAGTACTGAAATCTGCCTCCAGTAAAAGGGGGAGAAGCTCTGGAAAATCACTGTGTCCCCTCAGGGGTGCAGGAGCACAGAGGTGCTTGGAGCTGCTCCTACTGCCACCATCAAGGTGTTACAGGATGCATATTAGAAACAATACTTGGGGAGAAGAAATAAGGGTGAAGGTAAGCTGTAGTCACAAACTTATTGTAAGAAAGTATTCAAAAATAGTTTTATTTAACATTCATGCATTTGAAAACGTGACAACTCAAAAGGTAAACTGAGAAATACCCCCATTTCAATGGGAACAGTAGTTGTAGACACTCCTAAATCCTTATTTTTTGGAATAACATATATACAGAAAACTCCCTTATAGACATACAGAAACTTCACAGTACTGAGCTGTTATTGCTGGTAAATACCTTTTTAAAAAGGCTTGTGGAGCAGTGAGGTAGAAGGCTTCAGGAGTGGAAGATGATGGCACAGCCTCAGGGAGCACCAGAGCACATGCAGATCAGCTGCTGTCTAAAAGAGAGGGACAGGAGTGACTGCACATGAAGGAGAGAAGCTGGCATGGTGTGACCTGCTCTGCCTGGGGCACAGCCCTCACTTGTTCTGGGCATGCAGCATCGACAGTTGCAGCTGTACATCTAAGAGCCAAAACAGCACTGACTGCTTGGACACCAAGCACAGGAATGCTTTCATTTGTCCCACAGCAATGGTCTGGGAGCAGGGCTGGGCCCACCTCTTCCCTTGGTCACTCCAACTCAGCTGGAGTCATCTCTTACCTCTGGCACTCCACTGAGGAATTTCTCATGAGCAGGAATGCCACGTCTGTGCCACTGCTGGAACGCCTGCTGAGCTGCTGGGGAAGTGTGTGTGTCCTGTCAGGGCAGCCTAGAAAAAAGCAGAACTCTGAGTAATGAGTCGTTGTCTCAGAGCTGAGGTCATGAAGGAAAAAAAGGATGAAAACTAATCTTACAAGAAAGCCTGCCTGCCTCACACAAGTTGCTGCTGGCAAAGAACTAAGTGCAGAAGGATCGTCCCACCTTCAGAAACCCTGCAGTGCCTCCAGCTGCAAGGCACACAGCCCTAACAGACTACGAGTGAGCTAAAAATCCTTAAAGTTACCAGAATTGTTGCACTAGAGGATTACCTGTGTTTTTGTTACATTCAGAGCATCACGAAGAGACAGCAGACCTGATGAACTTTCAGCTAGGAACAGCGAGTCTGAGGAAGTGCTGCTGACCAGGTCATCCAGCGCGTCAACCTGTCGCTTCAGGCTGTGAAGGGTGCCTTGTGTTTGTTGTTTTCCTCTGATCAGTACATCCACTTGCTTGGACATGCAGTGCCAGAGCTGAGCCTGAACAAACGGTTAATTCTATTTGCATCCAGTCGGTGTAGTTTTCAAGACTACATTTAAGAAGTCTGAGGCCAAGCCATAAAGGACATTCTATTAAAATCTCCCAAATCACAAGCAGCTGGCAACAGGTTTGCAATTCAACTGACCACTAAATAGTTCACCTCCTTAAGTCAGAAACAAGTTGTGGTTCTGTGGCACCTCATCATTAACTGCTCGAAAGGAACAGATACGCTCTGACTGAACTGTGCCCTCATCTCCTCTGTAAATGGCTACAAGTGCCTGTGAACTGCTGATTCTTATGTGACTAACATACAACAGTGCAACATAAGTGATGGGATGATGCTGGCATACTCCAAAAGCCAACTCTAATTATTTAACATTGTTCCTCTTGACAGAACGCGTCACTGCTGCCTGTTTTCTACTATTCCCACCTAACAAGACACCCAATTATATATATATGGCCATTATATACGGGGTGACTGTGACAGCTGGACAAGGATCTCCCACACACCCATTTTGTTCAGACTCTTTTTGGAAGGGACCTGCAGACAGATCTGTGCAAAGGTAAGAGATGGGCCACCTTCAGCCGATCCTCATGATGCTGCAGTTTCTCTCGGAGAGCCTCTCCACGCCACTGTTCATCCTGTTGGCAACACAACACATCCAGCAGCTGAGCGTGACGACACGGCCACGCTCAGCAGCAGTGTGAGCAGCAGCCACTGCCTGAGAGCTTTTTACCATTATGAAGATCTGAGAAAAATCCAACTTCCTTTCCAGTGAGAACAATCTTTTGTCAGCATCAGCAAACGAAAACATCTCCTCTAAATCATCAGATTCACACTGCATGCTTCTATTTACTGCAGAAAACGCTTCCAAATCTTCCAGTTCTGGAGGAGATGGGCTTGAAGATTTAAACCTTGTTTTAATACTGTCTTCAACCTCTGATTTAAGCAATGTTGCTGTGTCCTCTATTTCCCTTTGTCTCTTTTCCAGGTCTTCTTGAGTCTTAACCTGCAACGTAAAATAGTCTCACTGCTTTGCTGAGATACCACAAACACATCAACCCAGAGGAATTTCCCATGTAACCCAACAAATCTTTCTGCAGCATTTACATTTTGACCACTGAAATCAAATTGTAAGCTCTCTGAACAGATGCAGCCCTAATTATGAAATTCACTTTATTTGCCTACGAGGCACCGGTCTGGAAGACGCTGCTTTTCCCCAGACAGCCTTTATTTGGGTACTCAGTTATACCTGATTTTGGAGATCCACGTAGTTCTGCTGGATCTGGCCAAGCTCTTTCATCAGGTGCTTGGTTCGCTCATGGTTGCTCTGTGCCACTTGTTCAGCAGCTGCTATATCACTCTGCAGGCAGTTATTTGCATGCTTTTGTTCCTAGGAAAATGCAGAAAAGATTGCCTTCTACTGTGAGCACCCACTTGAGAAAATGAATCGAGAGCCTTTATGAGACAATTTCTTCAAGTTAAAATGCAGGAACAGCATTAATAAGAGTAACCCAAGGTACTCTGCAGCACAGCCTGGAAATATCAGAGTTTGGCTGCTTCAAAATCCATCTCATCAAAGTTAACACACGACTTTTGCTCCTCAGCAATAAGAGGGGTATTCTATCATTTTGATGTTCACAAAATAACCAAAAGCCTCTAATGTTCCCCCTTCCTCCAGTCAGGACTTACATGCAGTTCTCTTTCAAACTGTGTCCTCTGCATTTTCATTGCTTCCTTCAGACTGCAGATCCGTTTTTCTGCTCTTTTCCTTTCTGCTGCTAGCTGCCCCTGCAGATGGTTCACCTCAGACTTGGAGACTTTCAATTCGTTTTGGAGAGACTGAATTTCTCTGTTTTTCTGTTGTACCTGTAGTTCTTTTTCTGATACCTGATGTTCTGTAAACAATATTTAAACTGACACTGATTAGCAGAAATGTAAATACCTTGGCATATTTCAGACATCAGACATTTTCAAACCACTCTGCTGAGTGATGTTTAGATAAACATTGGCACCAGGTGAGAGGTGACAAAGCTGCCTTCAGAATTTCAGCTCTCCGAGGAACGAATTTAAGGATCAGGAGTCAAATAAAGTGCTGAATTAAAATTCAAGCAAGATTAACAGAACTATTGGTTGGTTTCACTAGACTTAGCACCCACACACTGCAATGATAAACTTGTGTGACAGATCTTACTGCTTTTTCTGACAGTTTCTTCAAGCGCTGCAAGTTGAGATGCTTCTTTTTCCAGCTTCCTGTTGTTTTCTTCTGTCAGCCTTACTTTTGCTACTGCCTCTTCCAGTTTCTCTCGCTGATCCCTGAGTTCCTTTTCCAGAAGTAGTTTCTGTTCTTTGAGTTTAGCAGTATTTTCTTCCAGTTTTTTCCCTTCGTGTTCTGAATTTTGCTTGAGCTTATAAAGGATCTGCCAAAAACAAATACAACTTTAAATCGGTACGGTTTCACTCGTAGCAACTCAGTCAGAACCAATACCATCACCAAACAACGCTGCAGAAGTTGAAGCAGCAGCAATCTGAAACAAGAAATACGGTCTGGTACTCAGTCCAAACAGAAGTGTTGGTCATTTTCCCTCCTTAATTTCCCTGTTTTTCTTTTGCTTAGTGCTTTATTGAAGCCAAATAAGGTAACTTCCACAAACAATTAATTGATGGTCTTGCACAGAAGTGCGGTAGAAGAGCAAGAAGCAGCTACAAATAGTAAACCACTCAAAATAAGCTTTGAGATACCAGAAATAAACTTCAAGATAAGAGTTCTGGATCTCCTGCTGCTTAGTTTTTGAGTTCTGGAACACAGATGCATTTTGTTTTGGTCAGTTTTATTTGAAATCCACGTTATCATTTCAGATACCCCCACCGGTCGCTTGTCTCCCCCAGCACACACACTATGAAGGAGTTCTCCAAGCTGTATCCAGCTGCTCCTGTTTGTCAGCTGACAAACGAGAAGTTATAGAGAACTGCCTCTGCCAGCCCCTGTCCTCACCCAACCCAGCAGGCACACAGCACTGCACTGTGCCTCCCACTACATCAGCCCTTCTTGCACACAGCTCTGCACACAAAGATCCCACCAAGAAGGAAGAGTCCTTTGCTGGGAGGCTGGATTTCAGTCAGACACAACAGGATGCTGAAGCTCCTCTTACTGCTACTCCTCATGAAGTCACACTTTCTGTCTCTAAATGTTATTTGTAAACCTGCAGCCAAAGCTTTTCCACCTGCATTATTTCAGAGGCCAGGCCAAAGCTCAGTAAGTCTCAGGTTATTTACCGCTTCTTGTTTGGCCAGTATTGTTTCTTTCTCTTCAATCTCTTTCTGGAGCTGCTGCAAATGGTTCTCTCTCTTTTTCTGTCTCTCTTGGCAATCCTTACATTTCTTTACACATTTTAGAATATCTTCTTTTAGGGTTGCCTGCTCTTTCAGCAGCTCTTCCTGGTGCTTTGTATTATCTTTCAAATTCTAAAGACAGAACAGAAGATTAATCAACATAACTAGCTGGTAAAAGTAACAGGCTCTGACTAAAAAGGCTTCCACGTGAATCTAACTCATCATCCCTACCCACACTGCAGACTGTCTCCTTCCTGACCCAGCTCAAGTGAATTAACAGAACAGTAATCACCAGATGAAGCACTAGAAGGTGCACGTAATCAAGGAGATAAAATGAGTGACAACACTCAGCACTGACCACCACCAAAGCCCACCTGAAGGATGCTCTCCGACATCCCATCGGGTGCTTTTGGCAATGAAACCTGACCAGGATCAACATGACAGCTGCCGCCCCCCTTCACAGTCAGAAGAGGAAAACAAATTCTCTGTTGAGGTGCCTACTGTAGTCCTGATCACTCCAAACCCAGCAAGAACAAAGAAGTCAACCAGCCACTGTTTATTAGCTCTGCAACGGATCTGCATTTGAGACAGTGTGCTTAATGGAGAAACGGGTGATGGACTGGCAATCTGATAAAAGCTGCCCCTTGTTTCTGCCATCAGTTCACTCATTGCATTACAACCTCCTGTATTTGACCCAAACCAACCTGTTCTGCCAGCTGAAGCTGCTGCCTGGACTCACTTAATTCTCCTTTCAGCATCTCCAGTTCGTTCTTCTTTTCTAGAAAAACAGTTGGTGAAAGACATTTTCAATCAGTGTAGCAATGGAACAGATCAATACGATGGGAAAAGCTTACAGAGATGTGGTGACAGGACTGGCACAATAGAAAGGTGCTATAAAGGAAGGGAAGAAGATTGCTCACCCACTTCAGAAGATGTTTGCAGAAAAAGCTTCACCAAGGAGGGATCTCCAGAAAGATCCTCCCCCAGCAGCAGTCAGCCCTTAAATGAGGCCTAACAGAGGTGCAGCCTCTGGGTCAGCCCAGGACGCCCCTTCCTCCACCTGTGCTCCCAGGGCTGACCTGGCCTTTCCCCAGGTGCTCAGTGCTTCAGTCTGGCACTCAACAGCTCCCATACAATCAGCAATCAATGAAATAACTTTGCAGCTAAAATTTCTTGTGAATGAATAAAAGTTTCCATCTTACATTAAGTACTTTCTGCTGGTAGGCATTTGAGTACGCTGATAACATCACAGTTGTTACGTAAAAGAAATTACATTAGAAGATGTAGTTTAAACTACGCTACAGCTTAGAAACTGTAGTTTCATCTTTACCTTGAAGATCTTTTTGTACAGCAGCCATCTCTCCACGCAGTGACTTTTTCTGTTCATTCAGTACATCTGCCTCCTGCTGCAGGCTTTCAATCTCCAGTTCCATTCTCTCTACCTTGGATGATGCGGCTCCGATGCCACCTTCAGCAGCACTCAGGTCTCTGCAAAATGTGAACGCATGCTGGTGGTTTGTTGGAGGTCCATCATGCACCCAAAGCAGCTGCACTCAGCCGTTTGTTCTCAGCTCAGGGAGATGCTGCCCAGCAGCCAGATGAACAACAGCTGTCTCGTTCCAAGGCTGAACATTTTGCCTTTCATAACATTTCTCACTGCACTGCCATGAGAAACACTGCTGCATTCAGTGCTGCCTATTTTCTCTAATTCTGCTATAGACATACTGTAGACATGCCTAAATCAAAGCCTCCACAGAGTAAGAAATGAGTTCTGTAGTATCAGAGCTACAGCTGTGTTTCTAATTACAATAAGTTACAATTCGGGACATTTTTCATCACTGATCACATTTGCAGACAATGTCTCCTACTCCCACCTTCTGGTTTGTGACAGCTTCCTTTCCAAACTCTGACAGTCCTCTTCAAGCTTTTGCTTCTCTTTACTCAGAGACTCAATATTGCTTTGCAGAGCGCGCATCTGAGAAACCAGGTGTTCACTTTCCTGACGGTCCTTCTGAAGCTGTTGCTCCTGCCAATCCACTTCCCCTTGCTGACACTGGAATAATCTCTGAATATTCTCCAATTTCAGCTTCTCCTGGCAAAGAAAAATTGTGAGCAACACACGTGGTGAAAAAGACTGAGTGAACGTATTTACCTGCAGCAGATTAAAACCTTTCATCCACAGATCACTTGCAGGCTACACTGCTCCAACTTAGGAGTACAGAGAACGTTGCCCAGACCCTAACAGAATCACAGAACGTGCATCTCTCTTCTTTCTAAATTGAATACTTACTTCTAGAACTGCAACCTGAGTCTTCTCCAGTTCATTGACCTTCTGATCATGTTGTAGCTTCAAACCCTGAAGTTCATTATTTTCAATCTCCAACATTTCCAGAACGTGTTTCAGTTCTAATAAGATGAAAGAAATCAAGGCTTATTGTAAAGCACATTAAATGCATTCTGTTCTCTAAAAAGACATTGGAAGAGGGGAACGGGGCGGATGAAACACATCGATGCAACCCCTGGGCAGCACACTCATCTTCACTTGGCGTGTCAGACACACTACTTGTTACACCTAACCACGTTCCTCTACTAGAAAGTTGCAGGCTCCTGTGTCTCCTCTTCCCCTTTTTGCTGAGCTGTTACTGCAGGACAAGCATCTGACTGGCAGACAATGAAGTCAGTTTTTTTCAGTGGTTTGCAGGCTGCTGCTGGTTACACTTCCCACCATCTGAGAGGACACAACTGCCTGAAGGGCGATCCTCTGTTCCTCCTCCACTCCAGGTGCCTTCTGTGGCTGTGCCACAAGCAGCCAGCTCCATCACACAGCACTAGCACAGAAGCTTTAGTCCCCATGGGAGATTTGTTTTTCCTCACTGGAGTGAGAAACTCAAATCCCAAGAGCAAAGCAACACAAAGCACTGCCTCAACTCCAGCAGAGGGCAACCAGTCAGAGTTGGAGTCTGAGTCTCTAACTAGGAAAGCTTTCTCTGCAGCCATTCACAGTATTTAAAGAGACTGCAGAAAATATAATGGCACAGATGTACAACTGGAATCTTAGAGCATATTTATTTTCAGTCTGCACAAAATAATATCTACCTATCTTATGCTTGTTGATTTGTCCAAGTATTATTTGAAGATTTTCCTCCTCTTTTCCAATATCCTTCCTTATGACCGAAAGCTGTGCTCTCTTCTCTTCAATTTGGACACCCAGTTCTCTCCTCTCAGCATTAAGATCTTCCAGTAGAAGCCTTATTTCCTATGGAAGTAACAGTGTTAAAATGAATGTCATTATTTGTCGTTTATTTTTCCTTTAATAATTTAAAAATATTTATTAAAATGTAACATTTTTACTGTCAACTATGAACTCCAGAATTAAACTGTCTAGAATATAGTTAATGGTGTAAAGAAACAAAACATTATGTAACATTTAGGGGAAAGCCTTGCTCGTAGGCAATTTAAAGTACGAATTTCCATGGAGGCTTTGATCCACAGCATCAGGCAAGTGAACAGGAAGGCCTTACAACAGAGAGCCAGAAAAAGCATCACCAGAGGAAGAAAACAACAAAAACAATGTTGTTAATCTTGATCCTTTTACTTCAGTGCTGGGTGCATGGACCTAGCCAGTCTTCCTTTCACAAAGAAGCACGGATTCCTTTCTGAGCAAGCAAACATCAACACAGGAATGGAGGAGACAGACAGCTGACTTACATCAGGGCTGTTGCATTTTAAGCACGCTGATCAGACTGATCTGCTTTAGAAGCTGCCTTTGGAGACTTATTTCATGTGCTTTTGTTCCCCAGGAACCAATTCTGTATTACCCAGAAACTAGAAAAGTTCTTTCTTATTTGTGCACCTTGTCCAACCCATGAGACACGCAGTCATAAGCTCGCTTGTTCTGTTTTTCAGATTTGGGGAGGACATAGAAAGCAAAACTGTTTTTGTTGAAGTATTGTGATGTTTTTATGTTTCTATTCTTTTGCTGTTCTCCACAGATGTAATTAACTGAAAGCTAATTTGGAAAAGTTACTTTTATTTGGCGCTGTTTCTCCTTCGCTTCAGTCTCCCCGTCTCGAAGAGCTTCCTTGAGGTCACCTTTCTTTTGAGAAATACAGTCCTGAAGGGCACGGAGCTGCTCCTTCCTTTGCCTGAGCTGCTGCTCCACAAACAGCAGCTCTTGTTGCTGAGCATTAACCTACGACACAGAGGTTCAGCACCACCACCACATCTGAACACTTACAGTTTTATGGCCACACACATACAAGAAATAAATCAATGCAATCCTGTTACCAGTTTGCAGATTTACTCAAGTTGCAAATCACAGGAGAATCCCATCAGAGCAATGAGCTCCATTTGCTGGACTGCTGTGGAAGGGCCAGCACTGACAATTAAGCTTTGATCTGCACAGTGCAGCCCTGGGCCTCGGAGGTACTTATTGCACTTGAGAATAAGAAGCTTAAGAACACAGAGAACTCTGCACTAACATTTATCACCCAGAAATGCAGACAGGATTGGGGTCAAACTAAACACAAACCCCAAAACAGAAAATATTCCCCTCACCAAAAAAAATCCCCAAACAGTAATTCAAATGACCAACAGTGACAAAAAAATAAGTCACAGAATTAAGAATTAGAACTTATTCAGATAAGACAGGTTGGAGCCAAAGACACTTCACAGTCCCCAGTGACAACAATGAAACTGATACTCCCGAGTTGACCAGATGCACCTCACCTGATTTTTCAGTCCTTCCAGTTCAGTTTTCTTGACCTGAAGAATGTTCTCTGCTTCTCTGAGCATTTGGAGGTGATGCTCTTCGTTACCTTCTGCAACTTGAATATCTCCTTGAAGCTTCTGAAGGCTTACAGAGAACACAAAAGGCATGGTTCAGAAGAAACAAAAATACATAGAATCCTTAGAGTTGGAAGAGACCCTTAAAAGTGATGCAGTCCAACTCCTCTGCAGTGAGCAGAGACATGCCCAGCTGAGTGCACTGGGCACACTTATTAGAGAAGGGCATCGGTTTAAGGTAAATTTAAGATAGATTTACCTTCCAGTCAGCATTTCTATTTTCTGGTTTAACGACTGGAACTCGGAGTCTCTTGCAGACACCACTTTGTTGATCTCCTTCAAAACACCTTCCTGTTCCTTCTTACGCTGTTCTAAATCCTGTGTATCTGCCTGCAATGATCTACAAAAGCATTTATGCCCTTACATATTTACGTTTTAACAGCTCCCCACTCCAAAAGCAGTCCCTTGATATTTGAAACAGTCTTGTTCTCCTCTTCCCCATCTGATGCTAATTCACAACAACAGGGTACCTTAATTGCTGATCTGCTTTCACAAGTTCAGTAGCCATTTCCTGAGCCCTTCGCTCTAGCTCCTCTGCTTCCGTTTCAGTATGGAGCAAATGCTGTTTGGCACGATTGTACTTTTGAATGGTGTCTTTAGTCTAGAGCAAAAATTGAACATCGTTGAGATGACACAACCCCCCTTACCCTTTCAACACCTATAACCTACAAGTCAGCTGCCCAAAAATGACCTCCACCTTACTTGAATATTATTCTCTTGCCCCAGAAGAGAAAAGCTTCCTCCCCTTTGACAAGGACCAAAACAGTTTCTTTCAGCACAGGTTATCCCAGGGCTTATTTTCAAACAGAAGCATTTTTAAAGGCTGCAGGTTATCCATGTAAAAATAAACTGCTTAGACAAAAATAAAAGTAAACACCTTCTGCCTAAAACAACCAACATAACACAGAAATCCTTCTGTACTTCGGGCTTTACTTGCCTTTCCCCGTGTGCTCTCAAGTTCCATTTCAGCTTCTGTGAGAAGCCTGTCTGCCTCTCTAAGCTCCGCTCGGCGTTTGAGAAGAGTCTTCTCTATACATTCAATTTCTTCTGCAATATCTTCATGGTGTTTAAGAGATTTTTCTAACTGTAGTTCTGCCATTAAGTTTTCAGTATAGCCTTCAACAAAGTCCCTGAAAGCCCGAGAAGAAAAACAACAAATTCAGCTACAAAACGTCAGAGGCTCAGCAGCCTCCCGCAGCTCGTATAAAACACGTAACAGATCAACAAGAATGTTAGTTATAAACGTGTCCAAATCTGCTGTCACTGGAAAGAGTTTTGGCCATTTCCACTTGCTTGACCAGAAGCAGTGTGCTATTCTTACTTGCGCTTGTTACGTGTTTGAGCTGCTCTGTGCAGCTCTGCCACTTCGCGTTCCAGCTCTTCTCTCTCATGCAGAAGATCTTCCATGTTCTGACGTAATTCTTCCATTTCGTTCTTGCATTTGTGCCCAGCTGCCTCTGACCATTTATCTCTGTATTTCCGAGACCTCAAATGACGCACAGTGTCTTCTAACCTTGAGACTTCACTCTCCTACACAGGACAGCAAAATTAAGACTGATTGTCCTGTTTTTCTATTTCAGTGCTCCAAAACACATAAGCAGTTACAGATAGCAGCGACCAGACCACTAACACTGGAGACAGGGCATTCTTATCAGCAAGCTCTCTGAGATTTACAGTCTTGCCACAAGACTGCTTTGAGTTCTTAAATTTTAATCTGTGGAAGTGAGATTTCTTTTTCTTCCTTCCTTTGAAAAAGCTTTGAAAATTCCTTTGAAAATTACAGGATGCTCTTAATCTGTTCACAACCCTGCCACCCTGTGTCTTACCAAGTCGTGATGCTTGGGTACATTGCAGTGAAGACCTCCGAAAGGAACGAGCGGGACAGCAAAGTTTGGAGGAAGAAGGCCATAAACAACCTGGGCTCCCACAGGAGGCGGGCCATAGGGAACAGAGCCAGGAGCAATGGAGGCTCCATCTGCAGCTGCAGGAGGAGGGCTGGAAGCCACAGCTCCTTGGGGTGGAGGAGCACCAGCTGGGAGAAGAGTATAGATGGCTGCACCAGGCGGTGGGACAAAGGGCAGGTCTTTGTGAGCATGAGCTTCCACGTTTCCTTTGCTGTCTTCTTCTGCTCTTCCAGCTTTAAACACAGGAAAAAAAAAAGTGGTTTTTCTTTTTTTTTTTTAATAAGTTTTAACAGAAAGATTTCTTGAATTGCAATACAAATATTTACTTTCAGCACTGTTGAACAAATTCACCAGAAATTAATATTAAATATCCACTAATACGTATCAGAAATACTCACTAGGAACTCTAAGCACAGCCACATTCATTACACTCCTGCACACTGTGAGACCACGAGACTCACCTTTATTAGGATTTGTTTTGTACCACCTGTTTCTGACTGGTGAATAAACCCAGCACCCTCTTGATCTGGGTAAGTCTTCCTTCCTGACCTGACTACACCCTTTTCTGGGTGGCGATGTGCCAGGGCACTGTAAACCAACTCCAGAGTCTTTTGTGCTGTGAGAGGCAGGAGTTGAGGCCTAAGGAAAAAAAGAAAAAGGATTTGTTCCTATAAGATACTTTATTCTAGAAATAACAAATAAAGGAAAATAATTTAATAATTGTAGACTTTCTAAAGCATTGATTTTTTCCAACAACAGGCTCTACACACCCTGCCTTCTCTCATTTTTAAGCATTTTGCTGCTTTAAAGAGAGAACTAAATATAACAGTATTACTCAAATTCATATATAAGGAATTTCCCCATAAGAAATGCCTCTCTACATAACAGGATTTGAATTTCTGACCTGTGATGGTGGCACATAACACCAGTATCCTCTTCTTTTTACTGGATCTGCTATACTGGTGACGTAACCATTCTGGCATGAGAGTGCATTTCTGAGTGCTGCAATTTCATCTTGTAAGTTGTCAATTTCATCCTTGTTACCTGATAATTAATCACACAGTTTTATAAGCATATAAGACAAATAACTAATGACACTGAATGTATCCTAGTCTAAGAACTGCACAGAATGGTTTCCTGTTTGTTCTCCTAGAACAAAATCCCAGAGCTCTAAAAGCTTCTCATGTTAGTGAGGAATATGCACTGCTGCAGAACAGCTTGCTTCCCTACCTGCAGGAGACAGAGATAAGAGATTACCTGCCCCAGTGTCATCCAGCAACCATCTTAAACGCTCAATTTCTGCTTTCTGTTGCTCCACTGTGTCATTCAGTTCATCAATTTCTAACTTCTGAGAGCTCAGTGCAGTCTTCTCACCAGCTTTCCCCATTTCGTGTTGAAGCTGTTTTAAGTTTAAATCAAAGCAAAGCATTTCAATATAAATTACAGTAGAACATTTTCAAACAATCTTACATTTTCCCACAGAAATGCTCACTCAGCAAAACACTTGGACCGCTTTGATGCAGCAGAACTGTTCCTCCATCTCCTCATATGACTGAGGCTTACATGTGCAGCCACATGAAGACATGCAAACAAACAGGCTTTCTTCAAATTCAAACCACTGAGGGAGGTGTAGGGCAGGGAAGAACAGTGACTTGGGAAAACTTGAAGAGAAAGGCCACAGCAGGCAAGTAAACACAGCCATTTCAGAACACCAATGAACTGCTCTCCACATAGTTCACCCTCCTTGTATAACAGAGGAAACATTGCTTCAACTCACTTGTTCTTCCTTCTGTTTCAGAAGCTGTTGTAACAACTCTATTTCTGCTTCTGCTCGGGCAAGATCCCGAGTTGCACGAGCTGCCTCAACACAGAACTCTTCAGCTTCCTCAAATTCCTGAAATTGACATTTTACCTTAAGTTTAGTTTACAAGAACATCTCACAGGCTTGCAGGTGTCTCACAAAGCTTTATGAACTGCAGAGTAACAGGAGACATCACTGCTTGTCTGTGTTGGAATTCAAGAAAATGACAAAAACAACAGTCTGCATAAACTATTTCTCCTTTAACCTAACAGCCTTTCTGCAGAGTGAATTTCAACACGTGTTCGTATGAAGCCAAAAAAATCAATTTTTAAAGGTTTAAATTTATGAACTAAATTCTGTATTTTCTTTTGCTTTTTAGTCTTACATAACAATATACTGTTAATTGATCGACTTTCAATTGCTACAGAAGATAAAACCTACCTCTCTCCCACCTTCTAACTTGCAGCAAGGCAGCCTGTTAATCCAAGTTAAGTCAGACACTGATTTATAGTATTTCAAGATGAGGCTGACTAAAGCAACAACTCATCTGGCAGGATAATTAAAAACAAAGACTTGAAGCTGAATTTAAAAGCAACAAAGACAGTCTTGATTATTATGGCATTAGAAAGCACTGCTTAATTATAACTAACAATTAATTACCAACGTTGATTTACCTCAGCTCGTTCCTGATTAATTTTGAGAACAGTCCCATGAAGAGCCTGCAGCTGGTTTTTAGCAATGCACAGCTCAGCAGCCGCCAGTTTATCTGAAGTGATGATTGCTCTCTTCAACTCCTTCAGCTCTTTATCCAGATCAGCAAATTGCATTTGTGCCCTGGCATCTTCTATTTTTTTCTGAAACCAGGAAAGCAACAGGTTTCACAGTAATTTTAAAAGAAAAGCAGCACAGAATAAAGGCCTTTCCACACATCCCATGTGGTACTGTATACACAGAACTATCACAGTAATACAAGAATCAAGGTGTCCAGTTGCACTTAAGAAAAGGGCTGCGTTTCACCTTTGTGCTCCTTCTTGCATTTGAGCTTCATCTTAAGAAGCAAAATAATTCACGAGTTCTTTAGATGCTCTTTTCCTGAGCAGCCCAACACAGAGCACACACTCATGTCTATTCCTACCCTTTTCTCCAGGTCTTCTAGTTGAGCAAGAATAGCCTCTTTTTCTTCATCTGCCTCTTGGAGCTGTTGATCAGCCAGGCCCTGGATTTCTTCCATACTCCTTATTTTTTCACGTAAAAGTTGAATTTCATTCTCTAACTGATGGACCTTGTTCTTATTCTGCCTGTTTTCAGATTTCACCTGTACATGAAGTATGCAAGAATGAGCAACCAAAACAAAGTTCCAATTAAAACCCACCCTATTTTAATGATTTTCAGACCAACTTTTTGAACGCACCACTAGCAGTATATCTTATACCTACAGAATAGCAAAACTATTCTAATCACAGTCAACAGTGCCCTACGCCAACTTGAGTTGTTGAACTTGCTCCTGGCAAGCAACCGTGAGCAATTTATCTGCTCTTAGTAAAATTACACTTATTTGAAAGATGGAGGGAAACAAGTCTACATTTGTCACAAACCTTGATCCTTCAGCTGCAACATGCATATTTCAGACAAAGCTCAAACTGTCTCAGTCTTGCTTTCATAGCTTTGATACATGCCTGTCTATATTTCTCCTGTATATCTTCCAGTTTTTCCTGCTGAGATACCATTTCCTCTTGCAATTGCCTCTGTCTTTCCCATGCTTTCTCTTTTTCCCTCTGTGTATCAGCAAGGATGCTATTGAACTCTTTCTGCAGATTTGCAAGGCTTTTCCCCAGAACATCAGCTGAATTCTGACATCTGAAAGAGAAAGCTCCATTATGGAAAACAGTAACTTTAAATCACAATACTAGGCATAAAAGCAACACAGCCCAGTTCAGAAGTGCTAGTTTAAAACATTCAATGGAAATGAATTCAGGTGCAGTGCTGAGTAGGTTGCAGTGCCAGTGTTACTCTGCTCTGTCCTTATTTCCATTTTTTGTAGCTGGGGACAGAGGAGGAAAAGAAAAAATTCTTTATTTCCAGTAGTGAAACCTGAGAGGAATGTGTAATACAACCCTCAGTAATAGAGTGCCTGAGCTCAGGCAATGCTCCCTCAAACACAAGGAAGGTGCTAAAGGTCACGTTTGAACTGCCCTACATCACAATACAAAGGATGCAGCAGATGTACCTCATTGCTCTCATCTATGGAGCAAGAACATGTGCATAAATCTAAAACTGTTTCTATTTTACTCACTTAATCTCTCCTGCTCCTGTCCGAAGCTTTTGCTTGAGCTCATTTATACGAGCCAGGACTTCCTCAGGGTGCATCAAGTTACCCACTGCATGGCTTAGCTGATTCTGAAGATCTTTAAGCTGTTGTTTCAGGAGATTGTTGTCTCCCTAATAGATAAATGCATTTACATGTTGAAAAATATTCCAACAACAATTCAGAATGATCTTAATGAAACTATTGTGTTTATATAAGCAAAGCACAGTGAAATCACAATATCCATATGCTACAGTGTTTGCAGTTGTGCCACCTCTGTCACAGACACCAGACCAAGAATCCACGCTCGACCAACGGGACCAAGACTTGAAGTCTGCTCTGCACATTGGCAAGCTGAGGCAAAAATTATAGTTCTAATATCTGGTGAGGATCTTTCATAAGCTGGTGGCCATTTTACCCTCTGAGGTGCATGAGATGGGACAAAGGGATTTGGTGAAGGCAAAGGACTGAACCCAGACTTGCCACAATGAGAAAAACTGATGCAATAAAGTCAGGCTTCCCCCCACCCCCAGTTGCACACAAATTGCTCTCTTACTGACACTGTACTGAATGAGGCTTGTGGGAAATTAAGATTTAAACAATTTATCAATCCCACTGCAATATAGGAGAGCAGCCCTGACATTATTTCAAAGGTCAATCTAAACATCCAAAATAGTCAGATAAAAGTCTGTGGTGCAGGGTCTCCAGATGAGAAATTTGCCAGGCACCACTGAACTTCAGAACAAAAATTCTTCTCACTTTCCCCCACTGGCAGTGAAAAAGCACACTGCTTATCAGGAACTTGCTATGGCAACAAGTACTTCACCTGCAGTTGTTTGAACTGAGAAAGCAGCTTATAGTTTTCTTGTTCCTTCTCTTCTGCTAATTGTGCTTTGCTCAGAGCATTCTCTAATGCTTGCCTTTCCTTCTCAAGTTCAGCTTGCAGGGCTGACAGTTCCATCTATAAACACAAACAACCTTCAGATTAATAATCCCACCTCATCACCCAAATGTGCAACAGCTGTATTTCTTTAGAGAATAACAACACAACAACACCCAGTAAGAAAACAAGCATCCCAAGGTAGCCCATCAACATATAACAGCTAGTATTTCTTTAGCATTTGCAGCACCAGTCACAATGATGATGTTCAATCTAGACCTGGCACAAATGTGTCTTTCTCACTGGGAAACCAACAGATTTACATTTATCAGAGTTCTACAGAGAATTTCCAAGTTTTGCCTGAAACACTACACCCAAAAGACCTGGAGGGGCCGGGGACAAAAGCACTTTGTTATGCATTTTTATGTATTCCTGATGGTGGAATAAGTCATTCAAAGAAAACTGAAAAATCAGCAACAACAACAACAACAGCAACAACAACAAAAGCCAAAAAAACCACCCCACCAACACCACGTTCATTTCTGATTAATGGAAACTGAGCCAAGATGCCAGTCACTGCATATCACTGCACCTGAATCCAAGACAGGATCCCCAACAGCAGGTTAAGATAAAATAGGAATGTGTAACTTAAAGCACACATTTTTCTGTATTCTAGCTTTTTGCTGGGTAAGAACAACAAACAAAAAAGCTAGCAAGCCAGATTTCTACAGATTTAAGTTAAGTTAAATCTGTAGATTTAACAACAGCAAAGGCCAACCTTGTTTTCATCTCCTATACTCACAAACATAGAAAGGCCTCTACAAAGAGGCCACAAATTCTTCCGTCTTGCTGCAGTGCAAGGTTACACATCCTAATGAAGTGATACTTCCCTCTGTTCTGCGACATCCCTAGAAGAACAATTCCTTGCAAATCACTGCACAGGCAGATGGCAAGGTATGCTGCCAGCCCAGGCTGATTGCCACTCTGGTAACATTACAGCTGTGTTCTCACCTGGCTGAGTTGTTTCAGTCTTTCCAATTCTTCCTTTTGCCGATTGGTTTCAGTGTCTCTGTCTCTCAGCTGGGCTTCCAGTTCAGCCTCGTAGGCACTGACCTCCCCTTGGCCTCCTCTGAGCGATTCATTTATTGCTTGCTGCTCTTGAAGCGCGCCTTCAAGCATTGCTATTTCCTGGAGTTTTACATTCGTTCAGAAATACGTACACAGGAGAAACAGGATTTCTTAGATTATGTTGCCACTCTTCCCCTATTCTTCAGTTCACTGTTAACTTGAAAGCTGGTATATCAAAACAGAGATGCTAAACCTAACCTCCAAATATTTCAAACAAGACAGGTAGCATTATTACATATGCAGGCCAAGTCACTGGCGCTGTGTTCAGACCTCACCTGAAGTCTGCACAAGTTCCAAAGGTGCAGCCTAAAGCAATATGCATTAGTCTAAGGTAGTAACATTTACAGAAGACTCTAGGATACTAAGACAGCCTCTTAAGGAACTGGATGATACATTTTGAAAGCCCGATGCCTCTCCTACTGCACATGAACACATCTGATAGATGTTACCATGTCAGAAAGTAAGTTTGTCCAGAGAGCTGTGTTTTGCCATTCCCAAATTTGACTGCTCGCTTAATTTTAAGTTAATCCTTAGGTATCTCAACGTGGGAAGAAACACAGCATTAAATCTTACCTTTCTCATATTTTCGGCATCCATCATAACCATTTTCAAGCTATTTCTTTCATCCTCTAGATCTGCCAATTTCTGAAGCAAAGATTCTTTATCCTTCTGCAACTCCTTACATTCATCATTGGCCTGTTTTGCTTGATGCTTAACACCTTCCAGGTATTCCTGTAATCCAATTATAATGCTTTCTAAATCCCTTTTCAGTGCTTCGTTTGTTGCTATTTGACCTGCAGAAATGCAAAGTGAATTGAAGGTATTGAAGAAACCATGTTTACTTACAAAACATACAGAACTGCCACTACTAATCTTCAACTAAGTAGGTGAACACACAATGAAAACAAGCAACTTGAACTCAAGCAGAAAGTGCTTGTGCTGTGTTTTAAAGGCCAGGATTTTCAACATTACTATCTGTGACCACTGGAAAAGTTGAGCAGAACCTGCAGTTCTTTAAATACCTCCCTCCATACACACATACTTCCTTCTACGATGGCACTTGCTACTTTTCTGCCTAAATCACTTTTAAAAATCACATGCTTTTCTGGGGCATCAACTCTCACACAGACTAGGTGCATAGTAAATAAATACATAATGACATTAATGAAGTACCTCACTTAAATCAGTTCAAAATACAGAGGAAGAAAGTGACTCACAGAAAAGACACTTCTGTGAAGGCTACAATGATCCAAGTGAATCTCAGCTAGCTCAAGAACTAGATAAGAAGCTGCTTTAATGTTTCTGAAATTAGCATATTTTGACATTATCTCAAGTCTAAATGAAAAAGCAGCTCCCTAAGGGTATTGAAATATCAGTACTTCACTTGTTCAATTAAAAGCAGAATAATTCTTCCTGATGTAACAACTGAATTGCAGATGACAAGAATGTGTTGAGAAAACAACCACTCAGCTCACACTTGATCAAGGGCCTTGGTACCTCAACATTTTTATCAGCTCAATTACATTATTCTAGATACAAAAACACTTTAAGACATGAACAAAAAATTACCATCAGTGAGCTGCTGCTCCAAGTCCTTGATTTCCTCAGTTTCCTTAGCAATCCTAGAAAGCATTTCATCCAGGCGAATCTCGAGCTGTTTATACTGTTTGTTCATCACCTCAATCTGCTGTTCTTTACTTGCTTTTTGAGCTCTCATGTGAGCCTGTAAATGACAGTTGGAAAGGCCAAGCAGAACTATGTCAGCACAGATTTGAAAAAGTCAGCTCACATTTTAGCTCAGTTCTGCAGTATCTCACTGATACTCATAGAGGTGACCAGTGCAACCCATCTTGTGGTGCTTGGTTCTGATTGTTTTCCTCTTTGCTACTTCAAAAAGAATCCCAGATAGGCAAGCAGCAGCATTAGGCAGTCCTGCCCCCTTGCTAAGGCATGTTGTATAAGGTGTGAGCTTATAAATCAGTATTTGTAACTATTACTTTTCTTCCTGCTGTACTATTTCCTCTTTCAGTCAAGAACAAACATGATTTCCCCCAGAAGCCTTATCCTATCATCGTGCATTGCCTTCCCAGCACAACGTGTCAGGTCACCACCCAAAGGAAAATACCATGAACATGCAGCAAGTCAATCTAACTTAACAGCCAAGTTCTACTTCAAGCTGAACCACTTCTGTATTTCTGAGAAATGCCCCTGTTCCACAGCGATTCCATAGCTCACACTGATTTCATCAGGACTGCACATGTATTTTGTATGAACTTAACCCATCATTTCAGCTGTGTACAAAACCTTGTTATCAATGCAATATGGTGCTACATGCTTCCCATCAGACAAAATTACAAGCAGTTTAAATACCATAGAATTCAGGAAAGTACATCATTTATACTGTCATAAAAAAGCAGCACTTTTCTTCTTTCTTCTTGAAAAAGAAATCAAGCTAACAGAAGCCTGCATTCTCAAAATGTTTGCTTGTAAAGTTCCTCCTATAACAAAGTAATTGTTTAAGGGAAAAAAAAGTAGATCTCTCTATTTTAATGCACTGAAAGCTACTTTTAACCCTTCCATCAGCACAATTCAACTTGCCACCTGTTAATAACAATCTACCCTTCAGCTCTCAGAAATGAAATTTCAACAAGCAGAAAGCAAGCCGAGGTGCTACTGCTGCTGAGTCACTTTGCCGCAGCTGCTGGATGTCACAGGAGCCCTGTTTAAAAACAACAAACACTTACACCTTTGCCTTTGTCTCTTCTTCCTTCGGGATCACGTGCAGGGCCGCCCCACCCCCGCTCTAAAGTCAGTCCGATCGCCCCGCCGCCTCCAGCACGATACCCGGCATCGCCTCCCGCTCCTCGGCCGCCCCAACAGCAGGAGGTAGCGGGGGGCCGAGGGGAACCGGGAGGGAGCGGGGAGCCGGGAGCGGCCCTCCTGCACCAGCGCGGCGATTGGCCGGGCCGGGCTTCCTGCGCCGTGATTCGGAGCGCGGCGGCGGCGGCGAGAGGGGCCGGGCCGGGCCTGGGCTCCGTGCCGAGCGCGCCCAGCCCTGCCGGCCTTAACGCATTTTTTGAAAGTGGCTGCGCGGCTCGGCTCGAAACGGGAACGGAGCTGAAAGTCGTTTTGACTTTGTGTGCGTCAGGGTGTCAAGCCGGCCTGAAAAAACTCTCTGTTTTAAAAAGTGTTTTGTTTTAAAAAAACGAAAAACACAGTATTTATAAAGAAAAAAAAACATTTCGATTTCGTAGTTGTGTAAACATTTGCCGTTGCTGAACACAGTAAGTAGCTCAGATATCGTTAGTTTTGCTTCTGTGCAGCACAAAAGAAGGTGGCTGTCAAGCTATGGCAATGCCTGGTGCCAGCTTTGCTCCCTAACTGCAACAAGTGGCGTCCAAGACACCGAGCAGCCTTCCAGGAACAGCAGGAGGACGCGGGCAGCACAGGAAGGTTATTAGTCCCTACCAAAGTGCTATTAGAGATCTTTTCAGAATTAGAAAAGATTTTACTGAAAGCAGAAAATTTCTGCTTCCAAGGCTCACAGCACGTCTGTACAAAACATAAAGACCCAGTTCTTAAAGCGTGAGCAGCTTCCATGTGTGACGTGCACTGAAAATGGTTGCTCACATGTTGTACAATTACTTGGTTTTAGGTTTGAGGAGTTGTATGTGTTCTGAGTAACAGCTGAAGCAAGTTCTCCTAACTGCCACAGACATTGCTAAGTAGCTAAATAATGTATAATCCACTTAACTACATTTCTCTGTCTGTGAATATAGATAGCAAATGGAAACTGAAGATTTTGGTTTTACTCACATGTCTTGGATCTTCAGAATTTACAGAAGCAAGAGAACTCTTCAAGTCTTCAAGCTCTTTCTGCTTCTTCCCTATTTCTCTTTTCTGATTCTCCATTTGTTTCTCCAGTGCTAAGGCTTCCTCTCGTAGCTGATGCAGTATTTGTATCTTCTTACTCAGCTGCTGCTCCAAATCCTCCCTGTTGGCCTGTGAGACCTGGGGATGGCAGCAGGAGGTTGGCTGAAACAGTTATACTGGAAACAAGAAGCTGATCAAGAAGCTATTAAACCAGCTTAGCCCAACAGGTTGTCTGAATATGATCCAATTATTTGGTTCTTCATTGCACATATGTACAATGGCCCCTTAAAAAAGGATGGGGAGAGAAAAACTCTTTCAGACGCTTTCCCCTCCTATCCACATAGAAACTCCTTTGCGTACTTTTTTCTGAGCCAGAGCACCCTCCAGTTGCTGCAGTTCCCCTGTTACTTCCAAAACTTGTTGCTCTGCTTTTCCTATTGCATTTTGCAGCTCTTCTAATCTCCTTTGTGCTGCAGAAAAAAAAAAGCCACACGTATGTTTTAATGTGCCATACAACACTGACTCATTTTTCACTAATCAGCAAAATCAGAATGCGTTTTCTTTAAGCAGTGATAATCAAAGCTAATCCCCATTACTCACAGAGTAGATCCAGTTTTTAATGTGAATGACACCAATTGACAGATCAGAGGGAAGACTCCCCTGGCATTCTTTTATATCAACTGTAATTATTACAAGATTTTTTGCTATTATTTTAAGATAATTCAGTATGAAACACTTTTGACCCCACGATATCATCAATTACGGGGTTGAGAAGCAACAGCAGTTAGAGCCTTTGACACACTGTTGCCATTCTCTTGTCAAATACATGTCAGCAGTTCCAACAGTAGAATAAATACTGCTATATTTACTTTTTTAATATTAAAAAAAAAAAAATTACCTGAATGAATCTTTTTTTCTTTACTCTCCAATTGCTCATCTAGAGTTTGAAACTGAGGTTCCAGCTGTGATTTCATACACAGATCATTTTCGTCTGATTGCATTTTTCCAGTTCCCATTTGCTGAGCTTTACTAGCAATGTAGCCTTCTGTTATAAACATGTTTCTTTTGTACCTGGCCTTACCAATGTATGGGCTTTCACCAGGTACGCTGTCAAGCTCAACATCCTGCAGTGTTAAAGCAATACAGCTGTTATGTCAGTTACACATCTGCCTCAGAAACAGGGTTGCTGTCAGCTCACAAAATGCATTTAAACACAGTGCCATTACAAATGAACAGACTATTAGCAGATACATTTGTATTTGGGATCTGCTCAGTTTGCTGCCAGTGGTCAATAATGCAAGAGGGTATTTAACTTTTGGAGAACTTTTTCTTAGTATTTTAGATGTAGAAGTAACACAGACCATACTCAGTCCATTACACTGTTACACTTAAATATTTAAACTTCACTAATCGTGAATGATGAATTTTTTTAGCTATGTTTCAGTGGTCTTTGTTTCTTGTGCAGACTCACCAATCATTTTAATTTTGCAAGTATCACAGAGGTTAGCTCCATTAATTAGGTGGGGAAAAGGGGGGAAAAAGGGAGAAATTCTAAGATGTTGTTTAACTGAAGATCATTCTGGCTTGTACGGTTTTTCAGACTGAGAGGGCCTCCAAAATTAAGCCAGAAATGAAAGCGATCATTTACTGAATCATTAATAAGAATGAAATGATTGTTCACTGACTCTGTTCAGCTAAAATGTACATGTACTAATTTTCAGCAAGTTAAAGGTCACTCAAGATTCACTTTAGATCAAATCATGTAACCCATGATTTTAGAATGAGATTTTTGTATTTTAGAACTCCTTGTAGACCTCTGTCTATTAGAACAAAAGAAAAACTATGGAAGTTTGGTATTTTCCAAGCAACTGAAAAGAAAGAGAAAAAGAAATAAAAAAGATCCATAATTTTAAAATTATTACCTCTGATGGAAAATAGTTTAGTGGCTCAAATTTTGCATCAATCTTATAAAATGCCAGTTCCTGCTCCAACTCATATTGCTTCTGGCAAGCTCGTGTCAGCTCCATTGTTTTCTGCTTTAGCTAATGAATCAGTAAGCAAAGGAAGATGCATTCACTGAATTCTCATTGTTATCACACACCATTCAATTCAGAACACTGATTTCAAAACAAAGTTCACATTAGAAGAAAGATGGTGTATTTTGGGTCGAGGATATCACAAAGTGCCACTTCATTACAAGGTGCAACATGACAGCTAAGAGCAGACAAATTCCACAGTACAACACAAATGATCACATGAAAGGTCTCTTAAGTTTACAAGCATGAGAGGTTTGAAAGAAAATGTCTCTAACTCCAAGGAGTAATTTGGGTACAGACCTTTAGCAAAATCTATACTGAATATATTTGCTGTTATTAATGAGAAATGAGATCTTACTTCTAACAGTCTTAAACTGTATAAAAAAAAAGAAGTATTATCTCCATTGTCATGTGTATAAAGCCTAAGCATTTCATTTTAGTTTAACTTTGGGCTAGTTAGGAATTTTTATTTTTTTCTTTTAAAGAGGTCTATCATGTGATTCCCTTTTAAATCAACTTTCTGTGCTGAATACCTGAGGGAGAACATGCAGTAATACTCCAATAGACAGTGGAAAGCAAAACTACTGGAGAAAAAGAAATAGGTAAGACTGGAATAAAGGAGAGAAGGCTTACAGAAAGATTTTAAAGAAACAGGTCATGCAAAAATAAAACAACCAAAGAACGACACAGTAAATACAGTCTCACCAGACCTCTATGCAACATTTCTACTTTACTAAACATGCAAAGAAAGCCTCGAAATCAAAACAAGCATGCAACCCAGGAGCACAGTGGGCTACCTTCAGTGAGGAATAAAGGCTCTGCGGAAAGGGACTGTGACAAACCAGTGCACAGCTACAAGGAGAGAGAAGCAAGCAGAGTTTGTCATCCAGAGGATAAGAGGGGGCTACATTGCAAAATATCTGCTGCCAAATCTCACTATACTGAAAACTGCCTTGTAGGAATAGGCCACTGGTTAGTAAGTATGTTCAACACAAGAAAGAGCTACATAAATATTAGCAGAAGAGAATCTGAAGGATAAAACGAGAGGACAAGGCTAACAAGAAAGATTAAAAGCCAAACACTGCACTCCCAGAAAGTCATTCGCAACTGAGTGTTCTCCAGTCAACAGGAGTTTTTCCAGGGCCACGGTACAAATCTTGCATTTTATAGCTACCAATGAAAGACAACTGTCAGATGCAAGTTTTAGGATGATGTAAAGAAAATACAAGAAAACGAATACACTTGGCCTGGAAAAAGAAGCATTACTAGAGTAGAACTTGTATGCATAGCTTGTTACTATAAAAATAGTGAACCTTTTCCCCCCTCAATACAGCAGCATTTAAAGTTCTGAACAAAGGAGATTCAGTACACAGATAATTTAGAGCAGCTTAATCTTTTATCAAGTAAAAAAGCCTATTACTACAGACAGAAAGTTTCTATAAACTATAAATTGTGAGACTGGTACTGACTGCTGGTTCAGTATACTTACTTTTTCCACAGAAGGAATATTGAAAACACTCTTTAGTGCCTTAACTTACGTCTTCCAAAATACTCGTCTTAATTCTTAGCATAATCCTACAGCCATTTGAGTTCTCCCACTGGCATCTGTTTCTGACAACAAAACTGTTCCAAATAAATGATTATCTTACCAGTTCATTTTTGGTATCCACATCCCTTTGCAGATCTTCACAGCTTTGCTTCTGCTGCAAGGTTTTTTCTTTTAATGATTTGTTGACCTCATCTTGATGGTGAAGCTGCTCAAGTACTTTAGACTGGTTAAGTTTAAGGTTCTCCATCTCTTGTATTGCGTTCTCTAACTCCCTCTCTAATTTTTCTATCTCTTCTGAAAAACAAAGTAAAAGAACCCATTCAAATAGAACTCTTTTCCAGCTAAATTCATTTGGTGTCACTTACCGTAGTTCTAATTCAACATTATTACCTAAATCAAACCTCTGTAGAGCTTCCTGTCTGTCACGATTTGTCACTGGCTGCCCATCCAAGTTCTCCAGTGCTCGCAAGTGGAATATGACATACAAGCGGTAGTGAGGCAGGCTGGCAACTGGATTACCAGCAAGGAACAGAGAAGTCAGATCTTGTAGAGGCTTCAGTTTAGCTACTTCATGAAGCTAAATGAAAGGCAAATGGTACAGTGATTAGACATCTCCAACAACAACTAACCCACACATCACTGAATTTGATTGTATAAGATATTACAAGGTAGAGCCATAGCAAGACTAAAATAACTGCCTAAAAAATCAACCTGTTTCTTCCATTAAAAAAAAAAAAAGGCAAAAAGAGCAAATTTCATCAAGATTGACTTTGGGAAATCCAAGATCACAGAGCCTGTGGATACACCCAACTTCCATTCCTTCCATTCCTCCAGACTGGTTCATGAGAAAGGAGATTTTATTAACTGAAGAAAGTACTCAAAGCTGGTTTATCTTTCTTCTTAAATACGATGGCTATTTCAGAAACTGTACTACTGACTTAATTTCATAGACATTCTGTTTATATAGAACATGGAAATTAACCTGGACCACAGAAGTAAATTTAGTCATGCCCTAAATACAAAAACAAGTATATTATCTGCATGTCTCCCAAAACTTGAAATCCACTTATCATAAGGGACACCACCACATGAAAAAGGCATCACATCTGCAAACTTTTCCCACTTCTTCAGGAAGCTGTAAGATTTTGAAAAACAAAGCATGTTTACACTTGAAATAACTGGAACAACAGGAGAGTTTATCCTTAAGAACCAGCTTTGGTAGGCTCACAACAACTGTACTAAGAGACACTGAGTGATTCAGAGTAGGTCAAACAACATAAATTTACCAGTTCATCAAAAGACTGTTCCTTAAGTGTGATCACTTACTGATGATACTTTATTCTGTTTCAAGTTAAGGATGCGCAGGGATCTCAGTTTCTTCCCTACCCACACAGGAATGTGCTCAATCTTGTTCCCTGCAAGGTTCATCTTTTGTAGGTTACGTAAATGTTCCATGCCCTCAATCTTACTGAAAATAAGAACACAAAACTCATTGTGAAGCATATAAAAATTCACAGTGTAATTGAGGCATTATGGTTAAGATATGGAAAATCTATTTCAACTAATTACCATTCAAGAAACAGCAAACAACAGCACTGTAACAAACATTGTAATGAACAATGGATTCACAGTTCAAACGAAATTAGAATACCTTGCTTTCACATATTATGGTAAGGCTATGAACAAATAAACCCAACAATTTTACAGCAATGTTCTATTACAGTGACCAAAGTCTCATTTTTACACCTCTCCACTAAAAACTTATTCACATAAGTGATTATGCCATTTTAATATACCCATTTTGCTCTTCTTATCCTCCAAATGTAGTTGCACATTTACGTGACACAGCTGAACCAAAATAAACATTTTTTCCATATAAAAGCAAGAATCAACTTAAACTGATGCTGTAAAGAACTACTTTTTAAGTATATTCATTAAAATACTGAACTGCTTAGTGAGGAAAATGCTGGGTTGAAGTTTTCCTGGGCACTAATCTAAAGAGATGAGTATCATAAAGTGGGGTAGAAAATGCTCGTTGCCTTACTCTTCTTGAAGTAAAAACCAGTTGTCTACAATGAAAGTCTGAAAACATGCAGCAATAGCTAAAAACTACTCTGACCTTTTCAATTCCTGTTAAATGAGGAAGTTGTATGAATGTAAATGTGTAGAAATGCTTGTTTATTTCCTACTGTTAACTTCTCAACCAACACTGCAACTTCCCTACAAAGTTGATCCCATGTAAAGATCAAACTTAGTAACTAAAGATAGTAAAGGAAACAAAATTTTACTATTGCTTCAACCATTTCTCTTCAACTTCCGATAACAGAAAATACAGCACTTCTCAAAACTCCTTCTTCAGATACGTTTTGAAGATATTAAAAGCCACAAGCTTCTATGAAATAAGAGTTCACTGAAGCTTTATAGTCTTGATATGTAACTGATGGGAAATGCTATTTAGCTGTCCATACTTCTCAGCTCCCACTCAAACAATAACAGTGTCAGCTCTGTCATATCTGGAGTTTTCAAAGCTTTAAACAGCATCTCTGCTTACCTGATCTTGTTGTAAGACAAATTGAGTTCACGCAACTTCAACAGCTTATCCAGCTTTTCAATCTTCTCTATTTGATTGTTACTTAGATTCAGTCTCTCTAGTTTAGAGCATCTTTCCAAATTTTCTATGTACTGAAGAACAGAAGATTTACCCCTTAGAACTGCAGCTTTAGCTTTTTCTTTAAAGGAGGCAGATTTATATTTTTAACAAACACATTCATTAAAAAAGTGCATTATTCTAACATTAATCAGTTTCATTGTCGAATTCAAAAAGTCTTAAATTCAGTGTTCTGTAATACTGGAGAAAGAAAACTAGATTTTAAGTTTGCACTGAATCAGTTTCACTTACATTAAAGGGAATTTGCTATTTAAAAAAACAAAAACAATACCACCACAATTCAAACCCTAAAAAATTAATGCTCTAAACTTCATTGTAATTGATTCATGGTACCTTCTTTTGCACAGAAGTCTCCACTGACATTCTATCATTTTTATTTTGACAGAAGCTGGTTATAGAAGGAGGCCAACAGAGCATAACTATTTATATCCACTTACAAACACATCTTTATTTGAATATGCTATATACACACACGTATATACACACTTTGTTTTATTACCAGTTACGTTCAGTAACTTACCTTGAATTTCTTGTCCCCATCCTGTGGTGAAGAAAGATTCAGTGAGCTTATATATGCCAAATTTTCCTGTTTTGACAGATTTTTTATAAGGGATTCTGTAATGTACCGAACACCTGGACTGACACCATTTTCATCTGAAATTAAACAGAGAAACTACCTTCAGCGGTAAAAGAACTGGTGACTGTTATATTCATCTTGTACCTCACACTGAATACAGGAAAAGCACTGAAAATTATTCTCCCGCACATGAGAAGAAACAGCACACCAGAAGCTTTTACAGGAAATGACATGTTAGAGTAAGCGGGTGTATTCTTCCGAAAATGACACAGTACATATTACATCTTCAGTGTTCTTCTCCCCCTGGAGCAGACTTCAAGGAGTGAAAATCTTGTTTTCCTATACAGATCCACTATTATTTTTGTTTACACATTTGAGCATCAAAACAGTAAAGCAAATTCTCATGTTTCTTTCCAACAAATCATTTGTCTTTAAACCATTATCACAAAGTTCACAGAACATGGGCTTTTTGTGGTTTTAGTGCACACTTTTACCTTCATAAAACTTAGATTCAAAAGCAGCTTCTACATTTGCTGTAGTATCAAGCTGTTGATTCTGCCGTGCCCTACTTTTGCGAGCAGGTGGAGAAGCCTGTTGGCTTAGGGGAGATGATGATCTGGTGCCTGAACCAACAGAAGACATTGTAGTAGGTGTCCAAAAAGCTGACATCTGTGATTTTCCACATAATTCTTTTTTTAAGTAGCTTTTCTTCATTGCCAAAAATACAGAATATCATCTGATCAGTATCTGTAAGGAAAGAAATAAACATAATTACCTGCATCAGCTGAACTCTTAGTGTTTGCTTGCCAACAGAAGTATGTTGTTTAAGAATTTTAGGTGCTTGTTGACAGTTTGAGACAACGCAGGGGTGATATTTGAAAAGTTGTCTTTTTAGCATAAGAAATATTTCTAGCAATAACAGGCTGCCAAAAAACACATTCAAACTAGTTCTCCAGTGGGTGACAGCTTCCATTCTTCAGGGGCTAACACATATCTAGAGGAATGCTATAGCTGTTTACTTCTGCTATCCCAAAGCACAACCTTCATCTGGGTAACTGTATTGCAATTTATGGCTTACAGCGCCTGGAGACACTCAGCTCAGAGTAACATAACTGCTAGAGAACAGGAGACAATTAGGATCCCAACTGCTTTTACTAAGGCTAGAAATCACCAAACTGCAGCTAAAAAAGCAGCTACAAGTAAAAGAGAAAAAAATAAAATTAAAAAGAAGTCTAGCACTGACCCAGTGTTTCCTTTCCTACCAACAAGCTGTCCTGTGGCTGTGTGGGAGTTCCAGAGAACTGTCAGTAGAAGCTTCCACCAAAGAAGAATGTGGTTTCCCCAGGGACAAGCACAGAAAGAGCCACGCTCTGCTCTGAGTCCTTCCTCATAGCGACCATCTCCCAGGGACGGAGTTTCACCAGGACAAGCAGAAAGCACACTCTCAAACATCCTTTCAGAAGCATATGCTATTGTGGGAACTTCGACACAATGTATAAACACTCATACTACAGAAAGCTGATAAGATTTTCTGTCATTTAGATGGATTTTTTCACTGAACCTTTATAAATAAGAAAAGAACGGAAGTAAAAGCCACTCTGGTCAGTCTTACTGCGTGGGGACACTGCTCATCTGGGACAGAGGAGATGGAAGATGGTAAAACCAAGTGAAAAGCACAAGTGAAAAGGGAAACGCCTTCGTGTTTTAAGGAAAAGCAGTCAGGTATTTTAATGAGATTTCTCGGAAAGTACTGCGCTCCAGTGATGCAAAGCCCACCAGAACTCCCTGTTAAAGGACGACAGTCATGCACGGGTACAACCGGGCCGTGGCCGCGACCCCGGGGCGCACCTCGTAGGCAGCCCGAGGGCCCCACAGCCCACAGCCCGCCCACACCTGACGGGAGAGCGACCGCGGTGCTGCCCCCAGCCCCAGGCAGAGCTCCGTGCCCCAGGTTTGCGGCAGGACCGCTCCCTCAGCCCACGGTGAGGCGGCGGCGCTCGCTGAGGGGATGGCGGTTCCCGCCGAGAGCGGCCGCTCTCAGGCCTCGTGCTGATTACCTGGGTTGACATGGCAACGCCGCTTTGCCGCTTTGCCGCTTCGCCGCTTCCCGCTCGGCGTCGGAGGACGAGGTGGCCTCCTAGCGACCCCCGTGCGAAGACCCCGGCTCTCAGCGGCCCACCTCTACCGCCTCCCTTCCTCCTTCGAACAGCCGGCGCCTTCGCCGACCGCCAGGCCTGAGGCGACGCGGCTCCTTTAAGAGCCCGGCGTGAGGAGCCCAGCAGCCGCCATTTTGTTTGGTTGTTGGCCGGCGATGGGTGAACGGGATCGGGGGCGGGGCTTCGTGAGGCCACGCCCCTCAGTGCTTTCCCGCCGGCCTGTCCGCCTCAGCGCGCGCTGAGGGAATGTGGGCGCCTACACGCTGCTCACCTTTAGGTGTTTTGTTTTCATTAAAGCCTGGCTTACTGCATACAGAACGAAGTATTTGCTATTAGTAGTGGTTTTGTTTTATATGTGCGATATGCGTGTATCACGTTTTAGCCTCTAAAATTGCTTTAGGTGGACTTCGGTGTGGAGCCTCGTGAGTAGAATGTACAATACTCTGGTCACGATGAATGGGAAACAGCTAAAAACACATAGTTTTCACGCAAGTGCTTAAGTAAAGGTCTCCTAACAGTCCTGGCCTGTGTGTGAGCTGAGGGTGTGTGTCCAGCTGTGAAACAGAACTGTGAAACAAACCTGAAGAGAAGTACGGGAAAATCTACCATGGAGTTTGTAACTACCACAGGTTTAAAAATGCTATTTTAAAATGTTTTTGGAACTTAAAGTCTTACAGCATTATTTATTATTATTATTATTTTTTTTATTTTCCACTCTCACAAGCATTCTCCTAGTTCATTAATTAGCAACAGATACTGAAGCCATTGATTTAATGAAATCACCACCTTAACATTTCATAAGCTTATATTCCATACCGTGATGTTCTCCTTATCGTTGATAACTTTGGGTAGCTGTGAAGCCCACGTTGGCTGCCTCCTGCTTTGTTTTCATATTGACCAGAAATAGCTTTGAGCCAATCTTTCCCGTAAGAGCTCACCCAGTGTTTGTTTAAGCTTGGGCTGAGTTGCACAACTTCAACTTAATGTTTCAGGTTAATTTTTTTTTTCCTTAGGTCTTATGCTTACATATGAAGTGTGGAAAGTCTTTACACCAAAGGTTTGAATTTTGGTGGGTTTTTTTTTTGTTTTCCCTTTTTTTTTTTGCAGATACATTTTATGGCTGTAGGTGTTGTAGATATACCACCCCCTAATGTTTTCACATTGCAATGTATGTACTCAGAAAGTTGTCAGTCAGGAATACCAGTAGCTAAAAGGAATGCCAGCTACAGGAATACCAGTAGCTAAGAGACATTTGCAAGTGAAAAGTTATTTCAAAACAAACAATAAAAAAAAAAAAAGGAAAGCTTCTGATTGAGAAATATCAGGGTAGTGTGGTCAATATAATTCAAATGATTTTTCTTCAGAAGAAAGTTTAAAATCGTATTGGTTGTGATTAAATAAAGATTGCTTTTCTGAAGAGCAAACAGAATCAGACTGCTTTTTGCTACCTCTGGAAAGGAATTTCTAGGCACTTATCTAGTGGGAGAATGTTAGGGTTGATACAGAATTGCTCTGTATATATTAAATATTTTAAATCCTAAATTAAAAACAAATAAAAATCCTGACGTTAGCTGGTCAGAATTCTGTGAGAGTTAATGAATTTGGAAGGGCAATGACATTTCAGTAAAAGCAAGACCTGCAGTTAATTATTAATGGCGAGTGGCATGTATCACCACTGTCAGTGGTATTTTTGTTCATCTGCAGCAGCAGTGAAACACAGTTTAATCCCGACTTGTTGGCATTGTGGGTGTGCCGATTGAGGCACTATGGCTATTTTAATATATTTTTTTCTTTTAGTATTTTCTGGAACAGCTTTTAGCCAAGAAAAAACGTAAGTAAAACAAATGCAGCGTTTACTGGAAATGTTACTTGACTGCTGTCAGCTGTATTAGGTGAATAGGTGCAGAATTTCAGTAGAGGCACTACAACAGAGGCTATCCAAATAAACATGTTCTCACAGCAAAGCTCACTGATTTATGCTAACACTAGAAAAAGGGCTGATGCATCTCTAATTGCTCTATTTGCTGTCAGCAAAAGACGTAGAGTCAACTCCTTACCTGCAATGAATTCTTAACATGATGACAAGATAAATATGGAAAAAAGTGAAGCCTGTGCTCACTGGATTCTCTGTAGTGCCTGAAGACAGATATTATGCTGCAGGTTGGAGGAAAGCTCTTATTTAAATGTCTATTTTGTGGTTGTATTCAGCAATGCTTTTGGTTCTTCTGTTAACAGTGGTGTGTAAGAAAGGAATCAATCATAGTGCTCTTGGTGTTTCAGAAAAAGATGAATGTTTATTGTTCAGCAGCACTTCATATATGTTTGAGATAGACTGTGTATTCATGTATTAAAGCCTGGTTTGTGGAGTAATGCATACTTCAATTTATAAAGCACTGAAGAAATTAGAGTAATCCTACAGAAGTTTGCTCACATTTGCCTTTACTGTAAATTGCCCCATTTATTCCAGTAAGAGCTGTGCTGGTGGGAAAACTATACAAGTGTACTGTTTGGAGCATTAACATTTTAAGGGTTCATTTGGGTTGGTTTTGGCAGTGTCTACGTAAGTGAATTGCAAATGAAAGTAAGAAACATGAAAGTATAGCTCCATTACCCTTTTATTTTTTTTTTACATTTCATATACAGATACGTCCTTACAGCACCAAGAGTCTTTCGAGTTGGGACATCTGAGAAAGTTGTAGTTCAAGCTTTTGGCTATGAAAATGAATTTGCAGTCAATCTTGCCTTAAGAAGCTTTCCAGATAAGCTTGTTGCTTATTCTTCTGGCCACATTTATTTAAACCCAGACAACAACTTCCAAAATTCTGTAACTGTAACAGTAAGGAATTCTGACTTTTCTTCTTGGCATGTTTTTATTGTTGCATTTAGTTGGAAGTCTTAAGAAAAGACTGTACTGAGTTTACAGTTGCTTAAAATGGGAGGGGAAGCCTACAGCCCTCATTCCTCAAATTGCTTTGTGTACTTTCTTTTATTTTAGTTTGTCTGAAATTGAAATTATATTGGATAAAGTTAGTGTAGAGGAATGAAATCAAAGTTAAATAATTTAATCAAATTATTTCAGAAACATTATCAGATTCAATAACATTAAAAATATACAGAGGAAGGAATGGAGATGTGTTTGTTATGGACACGATGCTTCATCTGAGCGTTCAGAGTAAACCAAAATATAACAAAGTTTCATCTTGTTTGGCACTGATAAGCCCTAAAGGAACTGAGATGTAACCATAAACCTTGATGACCTGAGGCCCAGGGAGCAGGAAGCTCAGCAGGTTTTACTGAAAGCTGACAACAGATTTTTGCTGAACTGTGATCACCAGGGAGGTGTAACTCGAGGTGACGCCTCCCAGGAGCTACTTCTCACTCTGCTTCCCTGTTCATCCAAATTCATCCCACTTCTTGACAAGAAATAGTGCAGAAAATCTACCTGAAAAATATAATAATATTCTTTAACTGTTCTCTCCCAGCTTCAGCCAACAGATCTAGCAGGTCCAGAGGACTCAGTCAAGTATGTGTATTTGGAAGCTGTTTCTCCGCATTTTACCGGTTTAAAAAAAATCCCTGTTTCCTATGAGAATGGATTCCTTTTTATTCACACAGACAAACCAATTTATACTCCAGATCAGTCAGGTAAGTAATGCTCATTTCTCCTGGCTGCTATTATTATTTGTATTTTATAAGCCATTTACAGATTGCCAAGGAATTCAGATATAAATGTCCTTAAACTCTTGGCTCATATGATCTCATGTGATCAAGAGTTGTTGTATTGCCATCAGCTACTATTTAATTTTTTTATCAGCGGAATAATACTTTGAAATATTTGATCATATGGTAAAAATTAATAATTTCTCACCATATCCTCTCCTCTGGGTCCTCACCTCTCAATTGTCCTGAGAACATACTGAAAATACACACGTTTGTGTAGAAATAGTGATGCTTGAATCCTTGGTTTTACAGCAGAAATGATATGCTGGGATTTCAATGGTAAAAATTACTTTGACTGTGATGATTCAATATGGAAAAGTATTGGTGCAGGATCTTTCATTGCTAGCATGAATAAATATTGTCTGGGCAGCGTGCTGAACAAAGATCAAGCACATTCCATAAGTACTAAAGATAAAACTAATAAAGAAATAAGTTAAAAGTTTTAGGTTTGGTTGGGCTTGTTTTGTTGGGTTTTTGTTGTTGTCGTTGTTTTATTTTGTTTTAATATCAACAGTGGTATGACTTTGAGATCTGTTATAATGAATCTTACAGTGAAAGTCAGGGTTTACTCTCTGAATGAAGAACTGCAGCCAGCTCGGCGAGAGACTGTCCTGACTGTTGTGGTATGTTGTAACTGCATTTAATTTCAATATGTCATAGCTCACAAGAATAAGAATCCTAGTTACATAGGAAATTGGTGCTATGGGCATACAAGAAAACTGTTAGATAAATGTTTTTGCAGGTATCTTTTAGAAGATCTAAAGAGGACTTTGCACTCTTAGATTTTTTTCAATTTTGTGATGTAAAACTGTTACAGAACAGAGGAAAGAAAAAGCACAAATTATCCTTAATATCTAGGGAGACAGTTTGTGAGAGAATTTTGATAACATGATTTTTATACAATTGTTTATTTCATTTAAGATAGAAAAATTATCAGCAGCTCCTGTACTGTATTTTTTAGCTAAATAGGTATTGTTCTTGTAGTAACTTTCTAGAACATGATGTCATGCACAGGTTTCCTCTGAGGTCACTGAATTAAGATTTTTCCTTTTGCTCAGAATGATTTCTTCTCATTCTCTTCTGTTGTGATTTCAAGGATCCAGATGGTGTAAAAGTGGATATCATAGAAGAAAATGACTTTACTGGAATAGTTTCTTTTCCTGACTTCAAGATTCCTCCTAATCCCAAGTAAATATATTTAATGTTCTTTGAGAACCTTTAGCATAATTCTGCCTTTTCTTAGAGGCTGTCAGAGTGTTCTCTGCTGATGCACAGAGTGTGTGTAACTTGCAACTGGGTAACTTGTGACATTTCACATAATGTGGTATAGTGGTGTAGATAGAGAACTTATGACAAAGCATTCTCCTTTTTAGTTGACTTTCACATGAATTTTTGTCTGCCATTTCATACATTCAAACAACCAGCATTTTTCCAGTAAGAGCAGCACACAAAATACATGCCTTTACAGTTCTCCCTTTGGTCTTGAGAGGGTGCTGAAGACACACTGAGTTGGCAGAGGCATGCTAGCTTGAAAAGAATGTTTTCTGACCAATTTATTATTCATTGGGAAGCCAGCAATAATCTGAACCCATATACAAAATAATTTTGAATCCCTTTTGAAACTGAGTATCTGCTAACAGTAAATGGAATAGTTCTTATTTTGCTGTTATTAACCCAAAAGATTACAGGAACTGGTTTCCTATAAGTTATTTAATGTAAATTATATTTGTGCCTCAGTGCTGTAGCTGGAGAGAGAAGGACCCTAGCAGAAGCCTGCGTGACCCTTTGGAGCATATTTCTCAATTACTGTGTTTCAAATAAATAGTAGAATCTTCTCAAAAAAGCTTTGCACACATGCAAAAAGTCGGTGCCAAGTTTTTCTACGTGGTTGTTAACATGAGTTCTTGTTAAGTAGCAATTCTTTCATTTTCAGTATATATTTTTTAATTTTAAAAATACAATCTGATTGTTGATTTTTTGTAGGTATGGAATTTGGAAGATTGAAGCAAAGTACAAGAAGAATTTCATAACTTCAGCTGTTGCAAAGTTTGAAGTAAAAGAATATGGTAAGGAATGCCAGAAATGTGAATCTTCATTTTTATGTGCCTTCTCCATGACATTTAAATATGGCAGCCATGCAGTATAGAGTAACCAAACTCACAAATGCTTAAGGTAGCACAGCCTATTTGGACAGCTATAGGATGCAATATAGTGCCAAGTGGCAATATCAACTCAAGATTGTATGAGTACAACTTCCCTATTAATAGTTATTCTGTGTGCTGGTAGTTTTGGCATGGTTGCATTGATACAAAATGTGGAGAGGGCAGAAACAAATAACTTTAGGCTTTATAACTTGCACTGTGGAGAAGCTGACAGCTGTCAGTGTGTGTAGTGGTATCTTTCTGAGTACCTTCTGGTCATTGTTTAAAAACACTCAAAGTGCCTTTATTTTCTACTCCTTTTTTCAGCTATGCCAAGCTTTTCCATTGTCATAGAGCCAGAAAATAACTTCATTAGTTCTGATAAGTTTGAGAACTTCAGGATTGCTGTGAAAGCTAGGTAAGGAAATTTGCCTTTGATTTCTAAAAGGTGTGTTTTTCTTCTTTACTTCAAGAACAATTTTCTTGTGTTGAGAAGCTTCCTCTTTCCCTAGAAATCATATCATTACGATCCTTTGAGCTCTGCTACAGAATTAAGTGAACCATTTAAAAATTCTTAGGAAGTGATTATTTTTCAGTGTAGACATTTCTTTTCCATTCCTTACTTAAAAAATTGCTCTTCTTAAAAATCATGCTTTATTGCAGCCATTGGGTAAAAACATGTATGTATTGGTTTTTATTCTCAGCTACTTTTATAATAAAAGACTTGCAAAGGCTGATGTTTTTCTACGTTTTGGAATAATTGAAGGAACTGAAAAAAGAATGATGCCTCGTGCAATGCTTGTAACTAAGGTAAGAAAAAGCAAGCCTAAATTGTGTAGACTTCACCTGCTTAATTCAGTGCTGATCCAAATCTACTGAGGCTGGGAAGAACGTGTCCCAACTCTTAGTTTGCACTGGCAGCTATTCAGTGTCAAATTTTCCTTTCTAATCCTTCACCAGCCACATAGAAATATACTTTGCAATAGAAGTCAGAAGCAGCATCTCAAACAGTGTAGCTGCAGTCTGGTTCATTTGTTCACTTGAGTTGCAATTTCTGTGAAGTACATTTTTTGCTTTCTACTACAGAACAAAAGAAATCAAACATAGGACCAATGCAGTAATAGCAATTCACAATCAGACAGTTTCTCCCTTTCTCATTTAGTTTGGTCTTTTTGATTTAGTCATTGAAGAATTGTAAATGACATTGTCTTTTCTAAATGAGGAGAGAGAAATCTGTGTTTGGCCTGCATGCAGATTTTGGAACATGTGCTATTGATTCTTTAATCATTTATAATTGTAAGGAAGAAAGAATTCTTTCTTGTTGATTTCTTCTTTTAAAATGTCCACCTTTGATTTTCTTTGAAAATAGTGAACAGAAACATGCTGAAAAGAGAATTTAGGTATAATTTACCTATCTATTATTTTAAGTTATTCACTGTAATTGAATAATTTTCATTTTATTTCAAGATTAGAAATGGAGTTGCCGAGATCAATTTTAACAGTAAGAAAGCAGTGAGTTCTTTAGGATTTCAAAGCCTGGAAGAATTGGATGGGTCATATTTATACATTGCAGCATCAGTAGCAGAGTCTATGGGTGAGTTGCTTTCTGACTGGTTTCAATTGAAATTAGTGGCCCTAGGATGCAATTATTAAGAGAGGCATAACATTTTGTTAGGTGGCCTCAGCGGTGAAGTGGAATTTTCTGGAGTCAAATATGCTGTGTCTCCTTACACACTGAGTTTGATTGCTACTCCACTCTTCATAAAGCCTGGGCTTCCATTCTTCATTAAGGTTGGTTAAAGGGAGTATTACTGCTCATTACAACATAAAACCCATCGTGTTACAGTCTTATTATTTTTGTGAATATTACTGTAGATCTTAACACGCTTCTGATTTCCATTGCCTGTTGACAGTTTTTAAATTTGCTGTTGTAGAAGGTTAACCCCTTGTTTTCTGCTTGAAAAATGTCATTCTTGAAAGAAATATTTTCTGATGAACAGGTGCAGGTGAAGGATACAGTGGATCACTTTGTTGGAAACATCCCTCTAATTATCACTGCAAAATCCTTTAGTCAACAGATGGATGAGACAGAGTTGATTTCAGAGGGTTCAGAATCTGGGAGAAGAGAAACAAGCATGAATGATGGAACTGCTTTGTTTGTTGTTAACATCCCACCAGACAGCAACCTACTGGAGTTTCAAGTGAGTTAAGTTCTTCCATTAATTTGTTTCTTAGACTGTTAAATTGTGTGTTTTTTCCAGTGTTCAGCACGTGGTAAGATTTTGCTCTCAACAGGTAGTTTACAAACTTAGACATTGTTCCCAATAGTCAGTTATGAAACCTAAATGCTATAATAAAACATTACTTCTATATTTAATTGTGTTTGACATAATTCTGAAGCAAAACATCCCAGTTAATCACGTAGTTATTTCATAGTACTCAGATGTTTTATTTAATAACTGAATTATGCGAACTAATCTCTGAGTGCTGCTTTTGTTATGGAGAGGTGTATTATTGACATTTTCTGCTCTACTTTCGTATGTGCTTCTATACTATAATTTCTATTTGATTTTGTGTTTATAAATATTTTTATTAAAACACGAAAGCCTTCAGATGGCTTATTTTATTAGTCTCTCTGAACAGTTTATTACAAAATGCTTTTAATATTGTGCTTATTTTCTGAAGCGTAGCTTGCTACTTAAACTATTCAGAAGTCAGGACAAGCAGGTCTTATTTCCTTCTCTGCTACAAAATTTTGTGGACTTTTAATTATCTTTTCAGGTAAGAACTGCTGATCCACACCTTTCAGATGAAAACCAAGCAACCAAAACCTATGAAGCAAGAGTTTATTCATCATTAAGTCAAAGTTATCTTTATATCGACTGGGCTTCAAACCACAAAATACTGAATGTAGGGGATTTCATAAGTATTAACATATACCCACGAAGTCGATACATTCATAATATACATCACTACAGCTATTTGGTAAGTCATGGTGTTTCCACATGAAATATTGAATTGTGACTGGATGTATCGTCCTAAGTGAAGGACTTTGACAGTCAGGATCTATCATCACCAGAGGACGCATGCTGCTCACACAGCTGTTCAGATTATGCATACTGCCTTCTCTTAAAAATGCCAGACCTGTGGTAATAACTTGTTACCAGATTTGTGTTTAAATTATATGTTAAAGCTATATTATTATGAATTCTTGTCTGACGTAGGCTGGAATTAAGAAGTAGTAGTGCTAATCTCAAGAGCTATTTCATGAGCTGAATCACCTAAGGAAAGGAAGACAAAGATGCATAGAGACAGCAGCTGTTGTTATGGAACGAGGGAGAGCTGCCTTCCCTTGAACTAGACACACTAGTGCTAAGTGCATTTTTGTGTGTGCTGGATTATACCTAAATGAAAACTATTATGCATGAGAGACATTCAACTTCAAATTTGTCTTTTTTTGTTCTCCATCGTCTTTCTATTACAGATCACATCAAAAGGGAAGATAGTCAGCTTCGGAACTCAGAAGAGAATTAAAGATTTGGAATACGAGCATCTGTCTTTACAGATAACTCAAGAAATGGTTCCTTCAGCACGTCTTATTGTTTACTATATTGTGGGAGAAGAACCTGCTGAGTTAGTAGCTGATTCTGTTTGGCTAAATGTGGAACAGAAGTGTGGGAGTAGTCTTGACGTGAGTAGTAAAAATGGCACTGAAATTTGTGGGTTTGCATTCATTTTATGATCAGATTTTAACTTGGTATTACACAACTTCTTTAACACTTCCTTGATGTGTTGAAATGTCAACTTTTGGATGCATTGATTTTGAACAATGTATTTTGAAGATTACTGACATTTGTTTCTTGTTTATAGATTAAGTTGCTATCGAGCAAAGAGACACATAAGCCAGCAGAAGTTGTATCACTTAGCATGAAAACACAACTCCATTCCTACGTTGCTTTGTCATCTGTTGACAAGGCAATATATGGAGTAACAGGAAGAGGAAAGAGAGCAATGGAAAAAGTTAAGTAGCAGCCAAAAAAAGAAAGATAAATTGCTGTTTGTTTTAGGTTCCTATTCAAATCACTGTTACATTTTATGCCTTCTATAAGCCTAAAAATAGAAGAGAAATCTAGAATAAAATCTGTGGGTTTAATTCTGACGGTTCCAAATTATAAAAATAATTAATCTACAATGTCTTGATTTCCAGTAAAAGTAAATTGTGATTTTGAAACCAGATCTGAAAGGTCTCATCAGAAACCTTCGGACTTGGTCAAAAATAGGCTGTGGTGTCAGAGAGCCCTGTGCTCAAAGAGGCACAAAATCTATATTTGCTTTTTTATTTTTTCCTATAATCTTTTCAGGTTAATTTTTTTATGGCATACTTTTAAAATGTCATGGCAGTTGCTATCACGTTCATTGGATTATAGAGGTTTTCAGTGCTTGTAGAGTTTTCAGTACATGTATATGTTAAGTAAACATACATATCACTGAAAAAAATTCCATTCCTGTTGTACAATATAGCAGTTCTTTGACACCTCGGAACAGTCAGATACAAAATACAAGGGAGTTTAATAGGAGAATATTTCTAAAAGTTTTAAACAAGCTAGACTGAGTATCAGAACTGTTATAAATACATCTTTGCCTTGATTCTAATGACTTATTAGCTCAGATGTGTGCCACAGAAGCATGACTGTGTTGGTTCTGGTGGTTGAATTAGTCCAATTTTTTAAAATGGTAAGCTTCAGTGTGTTGTGAAGACATTTTCCAGACTAAGGTTGCCTTTCTGTGTGCCTAATTCTCTCATTTATCATTTGAAATATATAATCTGTTCCACATTTTAGTTAGATGCTAATGCATTTATTCCTCAGATAATGCTGAAATTGGAAAAGAGTGACCTTGGATGTGGTGCTGGAGGAGGACAAAACAATGTTGATGTGTTCCGAATGGCTGGCCTCACATTTTTAACTAATGCAAATGCTGATGATTCGAATGAAGCAGGTATATTGCCTGGTTTTAAATGTGAAATTATGGATTTTCTTTCCTGAAATATTCTCTTGAGACTCAGAATACACTGGAACTTAAAAAATACTTCATAGGAATGTATGTAATACAAAATGGAGTTTTCAGGCAGAAAAGCACTATGGTTTGTGGGTTGGTTATTGCAATTGACTTATTTTTAAGAAAATGCAATAAATTTAAAATGTCTCCCAAATCTGGAATGTGACTTTATGGGTATCTTTTTAAGTGGTCTGTGTTATTATCAAAGAGGTCCTGTGTTTTGTACTTGAATTTGTTTTTTTTTTTTAAACAGGTGGAAAGTGCAATGAAGTTATAAGAACCAAAAGGTCTGACTTTGAGGAGCGAGTACTTAAAGAAGGTGTTCACAAAGTTCTTTAAAAGATATTTTTTGACAAACGGGCCATGCCCATTACACATCAAGAAAATGAGTGTTTGTGTAATAGTTTAAATTACTGTTATTTGTGTAATGTACTGGAGAGACTGACAAAGATGGAAGATGGCATTTAATAGAACCCCATTTATAAAGCCTCTTAAACATCTGCTTGGTTTGAAATCAGCAGAATTTGGTACACACTGAGAATGTAGCATATGTGTAGGGTTGGTTTTTTTATTTTCTGGAAAGGCAGATCTTGAAAACACACAGTTGTACCACACAGCAGCCACCTGCTGCCAGTGACCAAGGCCGATAGAACAGCTTTTGTCTTTTAAATCTTACTGTACTAAAACTCCTCTAATTCAGAATTGTGACTAAGTGCATTTTAAAAAATACATGTTCGTGTTCCTCCTCAGATCTGTACCTCCAGAGAGACTCAGCAAATTTTAGAAGTAAGAGTTGCGTGGCTAATTAAAATGCATGTGAAAATTAAAACTTTATATTAAGGAAGGGAATTGTTTTATTGCTATTTCAGCATCCAAATATAAACATCTAGAAATTCGAAAATGCTGTATGCATGGAGTAAAAGTATATCCAGTAAGTGAGACTTGCAGTGACAGAGCCCGGCGAATTCAGAGTCATCCAAAGTGCATTTCAGCATTCATAAATTGCTGTGAATTTGCAAACAGACTGCGGGAAGAAGAGCCTAATAAGCTCCTAATATTGGCAAGAAAACGTAAGTAGAAGAGCTTTGACTCTTGTGTGGACATGTAGAGACACTCTAGACTCTACTAGAGTGTGAATAAATGTAGAGGTGACAACTTAGTTAATCTGTTCACCCTCTCTGATTACCTCCCTTTTTCAGAAGGAATTGTGCCAGTCTCCATAGACTTTGATTTGTTACCCCTACAGAGGGGTGAGAGAGTAGTTCTTTGTTCTGATAGGACTGCTGGAGAGCTATATTCTATTCATCCATGTTTAGAACAAGCAAAAATGTCTTGATCATGTGAAGAGAATGTTAGTTTGAATGCTTAACTTGGAATCCTTTGCCTAGGCCTAAAACAGCCAGTGGATAACATCTCAGGAATGATCAGTGGGAATGTGAAATGTCTTGTCTCCTGTTCTCTCCCTATAATTGCTTGTTAACAGGTTAATCTGTCCAGATACTGAATGGCTGTCCATATGTATAAATAGATGAACTGGAATAAACAGGCTCTTGATTTGGGTATTCAGGTACTTTTTTTTGTATCAGGACTAACCTGAGGCAAATAGGCTTATAGAATACAGTATCACAAAAGGAAGATATAATGATTTTCATGCCTTTAGTGGAAGGCCTTTGTCAAGCGTTTTTTGGTTGTTTATTTTTCACTTGATTTACTCATCTTCTACAGAATTTGAGGCTCTCTTGGAACTAGATGAGACAGAAGTTCGAAGCTATTTTCCTGAAAGCTGGTTATGGGAAGTTCATCAAGTTTCTCCACGGTACTTCTTTTCTCAAGGAAATTACTAACATCATCAGGTTACTTTCTATAAAGTAAATGCTAACTTGAGATAACCTGTGTAACTTTACACACAGTCACAATGTGTGCCAGTATGCAGTATTGTGTAGGCACACTCTTCCTGTCATGTTCTACATGCAGGAGGTGCTGTCTGGCACCCAGATTGAGTCCCTTTTCTGTTCACTTTTTACCTTGCTAAACACCAGCTTCCATGAAGTCAGCTAAAAACAAGCTTATTCAAACGAAACCCAGACTTTCAGTTCCCAGTGCTCTCGTCTTGCCTTAGACACTGCAGTTCTTCTGTGCACCTGCTGTTTTTATGTTGATCAGCTGTTGGTGTTAGTGAATAGTTAATGTATGTATGTGCTGACTGTAAAGAAAAACACTTCCAAACACAGGTCAAAGACTTTGTCTGTCACTCTGCCTGATTCGCTGACTACCTGGGAGGTGCAAGGTGTTGGCATTTCTGATAAAGGTAGGTATTGCAACCCAATTCAGTTGTAGCCAAAGAGTTAGGTGATTTTTCAGTCTGGATTTTGTAAAACCTCTCAGCTTAGTTCCCATGCATATTCTCAAACGTTCATTTTCTGGTTATAAAAGAGGAAAAGACAACATAAAAATACATATTTTAGGGAAATGAAATTACTTCATTTCCTGCTATGAGGGTAAAAATGGCAGTGCAAGAGAAAGGTGGTCCAGCCTAATGACTTGTATTTGATGGAGGCCAATAATAAAGAATTAAGAAAGAATATTAAAACATCACAAATAATGAGTGACTCCTCCATAGCACACCTGTGCTGTGACCTGCTATCAATATCTTGGGAACCTGAGGAGAGAAAGAGACAGATTTTCCATTAGATATGGTAGTTTAAACAGAAGAGTTTCTTTTAGTTTTGGGAATGAATAGAAGGAGCAAAAGGACTACGATGTCAGCAAGCATATGAAAGAAATGCACTTGAAAGTGAGTATGTAAAAGAAAGTATATGTGAAGAACAGGAAGCAACAGCTTTGGAAAAAAACAGGGCTATTTCAAAGTGCATTTTTAGAAATGATAAATCATCAGTAAAGGTGGCAAGAATGGTTTATCAGAAGGGAAGACAAGTAGCGTGATTTTATGTGTTTCATTTTGTTAGGTATATGTGTTGCTGCACCACTGGAAGTGCAAGTTGTGAAAGACATCTTCCTTAGCATTCATGTTCCTTATTCTGTGGTGCGAGGAGAACAAATTGAATTAAAAGGATCTGTTTATAACCACAGAGCTTCTGAAATTAAGGTAATTTGTCTTCCTGAATTTTATTGAAATATTAACAAATAAACTGAAAAAATAGCACTTCCTCCTCTATGAGTACTTATTATAAACAGATCTCTTGATCAGGTTTCTGTAGTCCTTCAGGAAGAGTTAAGTATGCTCTGCTATACTGTGTAACAGTAAAATAAGTTAATCAGTTCATTTCCAGCCATTCCACTGACTCTGGTGTTGTCATGGATTTGTGTAGCAAATTTGTCCCATAAAAGTTAAAATACAATCTTTCTACTCCAAATGCTGGGATAAGATATCAAGTAAGTGATGGGATTTTTGGAATAATGTGCTCCAGAGCTAGCAGGTTGTTTTGTCCAGGGACTTGATGCAAAAGAGCTTCTTTTAATGAAGTACATTTAAAGTCATTATTGATTTTAAGATTATTGAAAAGTATGTAAAGATGTCTGTGATCCCCAGACATTGCTAAGGAACATTTGTTAGTGTGTCTCTAGTGCAAAAAGCAGCAATTCTGCAATTAACACCAGTAATATTTGTTCATTGTAGACAGAAATAGAGTATTACAGTAATAGAATGCTCAGTAGGATAGTTCAGTGTCTTCAGTATTTCTCTGGTAGTTTCCTGTTGTGAAGATGAATATTTAAAATCTTTCAATGTTTCAGTTCTGTGTTAAAATAGCAGCTGGAGATGGAATCTGTTCTTCTGGAGGTTCTGCAACTACTGGAACAAGGATGCACAATTGTGATTTGAAGAATCTGGGTGCTGGTTCCTCATCACCAATTACGTTCAGGATTCTTCCTTTGGAATTAGGGCTTCACACCATCAACTTCACACTGCTGACAACTGGGAGCAGTGAAACTGTGGTTAAAACATTGCGTGTAAAGGTGAGAGAAAAATGATTATTTCTGATTTTCATATTGATTCGATTACAAAAAGAACAAAATATATGAAATCAACATGTGAATATTGCTTTATGTTAATGTTATTTTGCTCCCAAATATCATGTGATATCATAGAATTAATTGAGGTGTACGCAGTGGAAAAATGTGTAGCAGGGTATTGGAGTGTGTGCGCTTTATACCTTGCATATGAAGACTGTCAGAAATATACATGTGTATCCAATTGCATAAGCGAGGAGAGCATGAAATTCTAAGCTACTTGGTTCTGATTTTCAAATGCTTAATCCTATTTCACTGAAGGATATTTTTTGGAGGGGGATCTTACACTTTCCTGAGCTTTCATTTAAATCTTTTGTTAAACCTTCTCAAATACTTTTGGGAAACAGATCACTAACTTAAATATATTGCGGAACAGTCAAGTAGAACTCAGCTCTACAGAAGGATGCAGAAGGCAATTAATGTATTTGTGTGTAACAGTGTTACTGTTCTCTGCTTCTCTCCTCCTAATGCTTACAGCCAGAAGGCATTAAAAAAGAACTTCACGCAGGTGTCACTTTGGATCCACAAGGTGTTTATGGTATGAAAATTGATTCTATGCATCTGTATATATTTTCTTTACTTTCTCATTTTCTGGATTCATGCAGTTACGATGCTCAAGTTTTTTGTGATATGAAAAGATTGGCACTTCTCTGTTCTGACATATTCTTTGTGGGTCCGAGGATGTCTTGTCCTCCCATTGGCTTACAAATCCAGCTCTAAATATCTAGCCTTTGAAAAAATACATTCTTTAGAAATAAACCATTATGTATTTTTAAAAATATGATGTAATGATACTTTTTTCTTTGTGTGCTTGAAAGCTGATCAACAGGTATGTTAGTACTGAAGATGGAATGTATTCTCGTTTGATCACAGCTGACTTATGAACTCAAAGATATTTCCTCTTAACAGTAAAGACAAAAGTACGATTACAGTGTTTGCATCTGTTCTTTTTCAACAGGTGATATTGTATGCATGCATATTTCTACTTTTCATGTCATTTATTTTTGTTGCTATCTTAGACAGTTGAAACATTTAAATCCAACTGTTTTATCTTAATTCTCTACTGATTTAGATTTTGCTGTGCTATATGTGCATCTTCCTTTGTAGGCTCAATCAAGAGACGACAAGAATTTCGTTATAAAATTCCACTAAACCTGGTCCCTAAAACAAAAATTGATAGAAGTGTCAGTGTAAAAGGTAAGTTGTATTGAAGCTTTTGGTGCACTATTACTCCATAAACTTAAACTCCCTTTAAATTTGCCTGCATTTATTCTTAGTTTTTTTGCTTTTTTTACCTTTCTAGAAAAGGCTTTGCAGATCACTTAATAAAAAATGATTGCTTATAAGTCAGTCAGATTCTGTCCTTGGATTCACTTTCCTGATCATTCATTTAAGTCAGTTTTGTTATTATTCTTTCCACAGGACATCTTTTGGGTGAAGTAATTGCCACAATCCTCAGTCCTGAAGGTCTCAGTGTTCTTACGAGTCTGCCGAAGGGCAGTGCAGAGGCAGAGCTCATGAGTATTGCCCCAGTATTTTATGTGTTTCACTACTTGGAAGCATCAAACAACTGGCATGTACTGGGTCCTGAAACCTTAACTTCAAGAACTCAAATGAGGAGGAAGATGAAAGAAGGTAGAAAAATATAACTTCTCTTGCTTCAGATTTGTAGATCTTCATGGACTTTGCTGAATAAGAAAGGTAATGTATCTGAGTGAGCAGATGTAACCTTAATATCTCTTTTTGTAACTTTCTTTCTGCCTAATATATCCCTTAGGAATTGTAAGCATCTTGTCATTCAGAAATTCTGACTTCTCATACAGCATGTGGAAGAACGGGCAAGCTAGCACATGGTGAGTTGGAAGTCTTTGGATTTGCATGAATGGAAGAGGTTTGAGTCAGTCCTTTGCTTTCATACTATAGCTAATTTTTTGAAGGGTGATATTTACAAGTAGGACATGTAGCATCATAGTGAGTTCCATCCTGAAGCATGGTATTTGATCCCTATTATAACATTATTTACCAGTAATTATGGCCCACTTGTCAAATTTAAAATTAATCTCCAATACCTCTTTGAACTGTGGGAGTGCATTACATACCTAAATCATAAACAATGCAAATCTGTCTAATCTCCAGCAATTTGAGAGCATCTGCAAATGAAAACAAAAATAATGTATTCGATTTCTTTGTCAGGTTGACAGCTTTTGCTTTAAGGATTCTTGGACAAGTGAATCAATATGTAAATCTTGATCAAATTTCTGTTTGTAATACACTTCTGTGGTTCATTGACAACTGCCAAATGCCAGATGGTTCATTCAGTGAATTTTCAGATTATCAACCAGTGAAACTACAGGTATGAAAACTGCATGTTTACTGTGTGTGCAGAGCAAGAACTGAAGTTACAGAAAGTGCAAGATTTTCCAGGCTGCATTTCACCAGAAATCTACTTGGGAGAATTTTGCCAATTTTACTTCTTTGTAACTAATTTAAAGAACAGCACAACATTACAAGTTTTCCTGTCCTCCCGCTAAAAGTAGCTGTGTGACAATTCTTAACGTTTAGAAAAAATAAACGTGTAGCTTGATTTTACAAAATTATAGACCTGGCTTGAGGATAAATATGTTTTTGTCTCTTTTACTAATGTGCTCTTAGCTACAAAAGACTCCACATATTTTCAGGTGAAATCAAATTGATATTTCCTACAGGAATTCCTGTTTCTTTCCTCTCCTAAAACATAAAAAGTTGTAATTATTGAAATTAACTGATACTTCTATTTAATTATGTTTAGATATTTTATTTTCTAGGGTACGTTACCCAGAGAAGCTAAAGAAAAATCTTTGTATCTCACAGCATTTTCTGTTATTGGAATTGAAAAATCAATTAAAATGTGCCCTACTCAGGTAAATAACATTTTTATTTCTGCCTGCAGTCACATTCTGGGATTCTGATTTCTCTATTTTCTTTAACATTTGTTCAAAGAAACCAGCAGGATTTTTTACAGTGACAGAGGTTAAGATTTGGTTGCTTTCAAAATTGGTTAAAGAACAACAATGAAATTCTAGATCACTTTATGGTAAATTGTAGAAAATACTAGGCAATCCTATATTGTCTTGATAGATGTGTGTAATAGGTGTATCTAAATATGCATTGTATATGTAAAGTATATACATATACACACACATACATAAATGTCTTATAGGTGTAAGCTGCAGTCTGTTTATTTTTTCAGAAAATCCATGATGCTAAAAACAAGGCAGGAGATTATTTGTTGAAAAACACACAGGCTGCTCAAAGCCCCTTTACGATGGCAATAATTTCATATGCTTTAGCTCTTGTGGATTTGAATCATCAGGCTGCAAGATCGTTGTTCTCTGCTCTGAAGAGGGAAGCATCTGTCATAGGTATTGCTTATTAAATTCTCTCAAACTGTGCATCAGGCTTGATCCCCAAGTAGATTGTTCTGATCATCAACTTCTAGAATAAATGTCATTTATCTTCATCTCTTGCTATATGCAGGGAGGGTGCCTCCTTTTCTTCTTGAGCTGCATAGACAACTTGAAACCTTTTTCTGTACTTGTGTAGGTGACCCTCCTATCTATCGCTTTTGGAAAGATGGTTTTAAAACACCAGACCTACATGCTCCCAGTTCTGTTACTGCACAAATGGTTGAAACTACAGCATATGCATTGCTTACTGCTTTGTTAAGAGGAGACAAGAGCTATGCTAATCCGATCATCAAGTGGTTGTCTGAAGAACAAAGATACGGTGGAGGATTTTACTCAACTCAGGTGAGCTTGTAAATACTTTGTTCCCATTCCTCAAGTGCCGAAATCTGAGAAACCTTAAGAGGATGCTATCATTAGGTGACCCAGCTTGACAATGTCCTGTACATGGCACAAGCATTGAACAGCTCTCGTGCCATGGTTTTCTTTGTCTCTTGGAAATACGTATTTTTGTGAAGTTCGTTACAAACAGAAATTTGCAAGCTGACTCCACTGACTTGAGATAAGCTGAACGAACGGAGTCATACCAGAAGGCTGTTATAAAACAAAATTTCACTTTGTGACATGTTTGTTCTTGTTTCCCCAGAAAATGAGGTATGCAATGTAAGAGGGTTTGCAGTTTTGTTTTCTATGCAAAAACTGTATTAGAATAGAGTGGAATAGTTCAGTTGGAAAGGACTCATACAGACCTTTGAGTCCAGCTGCCAGAGAACTTCAGGTGCTGAATGCCTCTTGAACATTGACAGATATGGGCCATCAACCACCTCTCCAGGAAGCCTGTAGTGATCATACTATGTAGAACATTCCAGTTCATACAAGGCTCCTGATCTTATCAAATTATAAGGGAGAAAGAACAAATTGCAGAGAGAAAATGACAGGTGTTTGCTATTTACTGTTTGCTAGTCTTTTCTTTAGTGCTTGCATTTGTTTCTTTAAGTTGCACAATTATGCCTGTGAGAATAGCTGAGATAGCTTAGCTCTGTCTGGAGTGTGCTGCCATGCTGCATGAGCTCTGCAGCAGGTAATGGTTACCAACAAGTGTCATCCTGTTTAAGTTGCAGAAAATGAATTGCTTTGTAACAATTTTTTTTAGCTTTATATTTTTGTAAGTAAATCTTTAAAATCATTTGCTGACAGGATACTGTTAATGCTCTTGAGGCCTTGACTGAATATTCCCTTCTTGTCAAACGGCTTCATCTGGACATGGGCGTTAAGGTTTCATACAAAAATCATGGAGAACTGCATCTATTCAAACTGACAGAAGATAATTTTGTGGGAAGAACCGTGACAGTGAGTGAATGGCATCTCTTCTGAAAAGCCAAAGCAGAATTCTGTTTAATTTAAGTAGTTCTATGAACTTTAAAAGCACTACCAAATTAGCTTAATCTATTGATAAACTGGTACTAATATGACATAGAAAGTGTTCAAGGAATTTGTTTATCTGCTACATTTAATCATTTAGTGTGGTTTTTTTACTGTATAACTCATCTCTGCTTGTTCCTCTCAAGTTGTGTTGTTGTGGTTTTTGGTGGTTTTGTTTTTGTTTTTGTTTTTTTTTTGTAGAAGCTGTTTGTGGCCTTAATTTGTGTCTGAATATAGAAAAGACAAGCAGTTCATCTGGCTTCAGTTATCTTCTTTACTATTAAAACTATTTATGTTTAACACCAATCCCTTAGGTACCTTTGGATGATGACATATTCATAAGCACAGGCAGCAGCACTGGCATAGCTACAATAAATGTAAGCATGCAACCTGTTTCTTATTGGTATCTCCTGTTTGTTAACATGACTGCTGAGAAAGAACGTGCAGCTTCTCTTAAGCTATTCCTCTTGTTGCCCTTACTTTTGCACTGAAGGGATGGATGTCATTTTGGCCGTTTTGTACTGAGCTGATGTAGGACAGTATGTGGGCTAGTATTTACATTCACAAAACAATCAGGACTTGTTCATGCAGTACTTCTAGTCTTCTAAACACCACCAAGCCAGAGTTGTAGTTTTACTTGTCTCATAATCCTCCAACTCCGTCGTGTCAATGTTAGCATTTATATGCCATATTTGAGCATTGTTTGCTGTTCCTGTACTGTGCTATCTGTTTGTTTGTAGGTGAGGACAGTATATAATGTAATGGGCACTTCTGAAGAGTCATGTAACTTTGAACTGAAGATTGTTCCACGGAGAGATGATGGTAAAGAGTTAATGTGGTTTTGAATATTGCTGATCGGGTCAGTGCTTAGGTGGGGGAAGCTTGTTTTGTTTGTCAATGTGCTTCTTATTAGGAATGATATTAATGAATTCTTCCACTGGAAAACAAATTGCTAGAAGCTTTTTTTGCCCTTTTTGAATCTATTGTCTTTTTGTGAATGGAAATATTTTTAGTGTGTTTATGTTGTTGCATTTTTACTCATTTGTAGAAGTGCTATTACAATTGAGGCACTGAGAAATATAAAATTCTAGCAGAAGACAGAAATATAATAGGAGAGTGGTTTGTGGTAAATTCTGTGAGGTACTGAGACTTGTACAACAGGGTGTACAAATGCATTCTGAGCTTTTGCTATGAAGCACTTTTAACAACCGTAGTACATGATAAATCATAGTAAGCATTAAAGCTGACATTTTTCCCACATTATAAAATACTTTGGTGTTGTTTGTTTGTGACTGGACAATGGGTTCACATGAGAAGTAGCTACCAAAGCAGTTTTTAAAACTCTCTTTCAATTATGAGAACAGTTGACAAGAATTTGGGGTTGCTATTTCTGAAGTGTTTTCAAATCACTTCTTTCACTCTTCTCGATTTAAAAGGTTACAGAGGGGAAGATGGTGAGCCACTTGGGCGCTTGGAGGCTTGTGCAAAGTAAGTACAGCTGGTGGGGGTTAGTTGGGTAGTTTGTTATTATTTCTGCAGTGATTGAGCCAATGTTTTGTTTTTAAATGTGTCATTTAAACTCAGTGCTGGTTCCAAACATCCTGGATTGCTGAACATTCAGCACTCCTATTTGCAAAGGAGTAATTCCCATCTCTTAAGGGATTTGAGCTGTGCAAGGAAATATATTGTGGCTGTATGTATACATAATGAAATTTCTCTAAGAATGTTATAAGGACTTTCTGCTCTTATATTATTTCTTAGTCATTGTTTTCATATTGCATTAAGTGACATTTATATTCAAATCTTTTTTTTTTTCCTTTTCTTTTTTTCCAAGAGAGATTAAAATGATTTGTCTGCTAATCCTCCCTTGTTAATAATAACATCTGGTCTTCTGATCTTGTTTTCTTCATTTTTCTCTATGCATTTGTGTAAGCAATAATCAAGACAAAGGTCATTATTCTTTTGGGAAATAGGTTTCATTGATTGATATCTGAGTGCTCCAGGAAAATAAGTATTAAGAAAAACTCCTTTAAGTATGAGAACTTTCATAAATCTGAAATGATTCATCCTGAATATATTTCTTTGTGATGGTGTTATGAATGTTGATAGAATTTTCCTTGAGATTTCTGAGGTGGCACGCTGAAGATTATTTTTAGTTTCAGTTGTGTTTAAGTAATTTTACTTCTAATATATTTTAGGTACAGGCCCAGCACAAGGGAGCCACAGTCAGGATCTGCTCATGCAGTGATGGACATAAGTTTGGTTAGTGGATTGGAAGCAAATAGAGAAGACTTATCTACTGTAAGTATTGAAGAACATCTTCCTTCTGCTGGAGATTTTTCTGACAACTGTGATACTTACTGTTCTTCATCTCTCTCTGTTAAACTAGTAGTGCAGATTCTATTATATTCATTCTATTTTCGTTGCTGCAAAGTACTTCTAATGCTGATGAGAATAGTCTACCTAAGTGTAGAATCTGTAGGTTCAGATCACCTTCCTTTTACTGATCAGAAGCCAGACATCTAACTAAAGCTTGTAATACAGGCTCCCTCTGTGATCAGTGGAAAGAGAGAAGTGAATAGAGACTGGCTGCCATTTGTGTTAGGATGATGTTAATCCACCTCTGGAGGGGTTTTATCTGCTAAGTGTAGAGAGGATTCTCTTAGTGTTCACACCTGTTAGGTGCCTGAAATCTGTGAGATGAATCTCCACTGCAGCATCAGTCCACCTTTACTGCAAGACAAAGGCACTCTGAGTTATGGGATTTAAATGGGATACTAGAAATGGACACAAGTATCCCTTTAAAGACAGTTAGCTTTGTAACTCTTCGTTATCTTCATGCAATGTGTAAAAGGAGTTTCCTTTAAATAAAAAAAAAGGCAAAAAAATGAGAGTATAAGCATCATAAGAGGCAATTGGAAAATAGCTTTTTAGGTCTCAAAATTGTGTCAAAGCTACTGACTGAAAAATTTTCAAGGTCATCTAGAAAACTTTATCCATTTTTTTTCTGTTTTTCTTCCCTACAGCTTGCAAGTGGAGTCGACCAGTTGGTAGCTGATTATGAGATAAAAGATGGGCATGTTATTCTGCAGATAGACTCTGTATGTTACCTCTATCGTAACTGCAAGAACAACTTTAACTCCTTCTATATTTCCTTTTCACAGCTTCTTCATTCATGTGTCTTTCAAATAGGTGCCAGCTGATCAGTTCCTCTGTGTTGGGTTCCGAATAAGTCAGCTTTTCCATGTTGGAATGCTAAATCCTGGCACATTCACTGTATATGAGTATCATGCACCTGGTATGTATTCCATGTCTCCAACCTTGTGCTTTTTAGCTCTTTATACCTTTTTTGAAGGCTACATTTTTCCCTTCTTCCACAGCTTTCTCATCCTTGTTATTTTAAGCACAGGTAATTTCCGACTCACAGAATTTCAGTGCTATTTTCCTGGTTTCTCTATATTTATTTATTGTATCCTTTTGGATTTTGTAGATAAAAGATGCACTGTATTTTATAACCCATATGGAAATGAAAAACTTGTGAGGTTGTGTGAAGGAGATGAATGCAGATGCATGGAAGGTAAACTTTTTAAGAGATGTTCTTCTATTTCATTTGGTGTGAAAGTGCATTTTAATGCTTTGGACAAAATCATTTTAAATCACAAAGGAAAATCCTCTGTCCTGTAAAGATATACCTTAATTGCATTAAAAAAACCAACCAACCAAATAAACAACAGCAAAATATTATTGTTACACCATGCACTGCCATCATTACGGTGTTTGTCAGTTACGGTAGATTATCTGGATCAGGTAGAAGCTCATGATGTTTTTTGGGAGGATGCTTGATGACACTGCCTTAACTGTTTGTATTTTCTCTCTCAATGTAGCTGAGTGTAGCAAAGTACAAGAAAGACTAGATCAGTCAATAACTGCTGATACCAGGAGAGAAGCTGCGTGCCGGAATGATATTGCATATGGTAATATTTGAATTGTTATTACTTATTTCTCATGCTTTTGCTAAAATTTAAGATATTTAAGAGACATGGACATGACACTGAGAGACACGGGTTAGTGATAGGACGTGGTGGGTGAGGTTGATGGTTGGAATTAATGATCTTGAAGGTCTTTTCCAATCTAGATGATTCTGTGTGACTTAGAGGTTAGGAGAAGTTGTGGATCATCAGATAAGAGCCAAACAGTGTACAGCTGCAGTCATAATTTTATCAGAATTTAACACAAAGGGATGCTGTATTTTCTGCCTGAACACCTGTATGACATTTGGAATGTACTGCAGGAAAAAGGAATAAAAAACCTTTGTTTTGTGTTGTTTTGCAGTTTACAAAGTGAACATCTTATCTCGCAGTGAAGAAGGTTACTTTGTAAAGTATTCTGCAGCTATTCTGGATTTGTATAAAAGAGGTGAGTGTCCCATTTCTACTGCATGTAACTATTTCACTTAGAGCAAGTGCTGTTTGGTTGATACTGCTGAAGCAGATGACAAAAATCAAGAGTCAAACCTACTCATTTCAGGAGAGAAAAAAACTCTAGCCTCAAATACAGACTTTGAACATTCTTGTCCTAAGAAGGGCAGTGTTTGCACGATGTTTTTAGAAAGTTTTTCTGTATTATAGCTGTTAACAGTCCTAAACTGTAATCAGTTCATCATCTCTTAAGAGATAAAACAAGATGGACATATTCCCTGCTGTTTTTCACCCATTTTTTGTTTGAGTTTAATCAATTGGTAAATGGTTTTAATTAATAGAAAATTATTTAATCTGTACAAGGTTTATTTACCATTCTATTTCATTTAGCAATAATTTGCAGGAAACATGTTTGCATCAGCAAATTCTCCTGTTATACAGTAAGTGGCAAATAGCTCACTGTCCCACGCCATAGGACACGTTAGTGTTTCCTAATACAAATGTGATGAGAAATTCTTCTTATGTACTTCTCAATTTTTCAATTCTACTTCAGGACAGGCTTTTGCTCAAAAAAATAACGAAATTACCTTTGTTAAAAAGAAGACCTGTACTGATGTTGAGCTGAGCCCTGGAATGCAGTATTTGATCATGGGAAAAGAAGCCTTAAAGATAAACATCGGTTACAGTTTCAGGTAAGAATCCTCCATCAGAATGTGCTGTGCTGCCAGGTGGCAAGTTTCTGTATGCCATAAATCTCACATAGTGTCTGATGTGTTTTTTTTTTAAGCATCAGTTCAACCAGCAGTCAGTCAACCAATGTGTTTTCAGCCGTGTAAATTTAAAATAGGGCTATGAACAGAAAGCAAGCTATTTCTTATTGTATTTCTTTTTCTATCTGATGGTTTTCTCCCCAAATCTTACTTTAAAATATGAGCATTGTTGATCCTTTTTTTTTTTTTTTTTTTTTTTTTTTTTTAGGTTCCAGTATCCTTTGGACTCCAGCACTTGGATTGAGTGGTGGCCTTCAAATACAGCGTGTACATTTTGTCAGGAGTTTTTAAACAGAATGGAAGATTTTGTTGAAGATCTCATCATCAGTGGCTGTTGATCTACGTGGAGAATTTTTCAATTAAAAACACAGATCACATCTCATTTAAGAAATCCTCAGTTGTTTAGTAATTCTAGAACTTAACTGTCATGATTATTACCTTGGAAAAAACTCTTGGCTTGTATTTCATAGCCATTTTTTTATTACCTGGTAATTTTCAAAGTATGTTTTTTGAGCTTGGATGGGAGAATAATGCAGAAGACTTCAAAGACGTTTGAAGTCAGATGAACTGAAAAGGAATGATTGTAAAAATAACATGGAAAAGACTGTCTTTTGCCAGTAGCAAAAATGCCTTAGAACACTGAAATCCAAAGTCTTGTAAAAACAACCCTGCCTTCAGCACACACACTACAGAAGGAAAAATAAAATGGCTTATTAAATAATTTTGCTAAAGCATTAATTTTCAGTTTCTTAGACCTGCAGATCCAGATGCAGACAGAATCTTGCTTTTTTTTAACCTTTGGTTGTATCCAGGCACTTAACATTTTTCATTCATCATTTGGACAGAGTAACAGATGTTCAAATTAAACAATGCTGAAGGTTTACTAAGTTAAGAAATTACAGATTGTTCTAGTCCACTTATTTTAACAATGCATTGAAACACTGCAGTGTATTTCAGACAAACAGCTCCCACTCCCTGCAGCAGAAAGAAGCCATTTTGGAAAACTACAGTTCATATTCAATAGGCAGAAACTTCACATTTTGTAACTAAACAAACTGAATTTATCATGCTGGAAAACAGTCAATATGACCTTCAGTATAGCTGCAATGTTTCAGTTATGAACTTATAATTGCTTGCATTGAAGAATTGAAGATAGTTACTTACAAATTATTTTGCTGTAATACGAGAAAATCTCCTTAAAATAATGCAAACTGTGTTAGTCTAGTGACTGAAAATGGCAGTGTTAAATTAAGGCTAAAAAGAGACTAGTCATGCTGTTACAATGAAAAGTACAGCATGTGTTACAGGGGAATCTCACTCTGAGAGAGCTTGGATCGAGGGGTTCCCCTTGCTGCTGCTGAGCTAAGAATTTCAGTCATCACCTGGTTTGGTAAGTCCTCTCCAGAGAGGTTGTTACATGAGATATTAGAACCAACTTTGAATGTTCTTGTATGTGATGGCTTGTTTTTTTTTCCTGGTATTGTTAGTATGTAGAGAAAAAAAGAACATTTTAAAACTTGCACTGTATTTCTCACAGCTTCTATTTTATGAAGACCAAATTTTGGATATTAACCCTGCAGTCTTGGTTAAAAAATTGTTTGAACAATTATGATAATAAGTAACAACACTATAGTTTCTATTACAGTAATATGTAAAACTCCTGTGGAATTTTATAACAAAGCAGAGCTCTGTGTTAATTTAAAGACTGCCCAGCTATGCCCATGGCACTGAATCATGCATAATATCTCGTTTTCCAGATAGATAGAGCTGTTTATCCTTAGTTTTTTCAAAGCTGCTTTAGTTTTCAAAGTCCTTTTGCTAGGAAACATTACTCCCCTTTTTATTTAGGCATCCATGTATCTTAAACAAAGGAATACACTCAGCTTTTGAAGCATTCCCAGTTTGCCACTGTGATAGAAACAGTAGAGGGAGTGCAAGAACACAGTTTTTGTGCAGGTCCTATAAACATTAGTGCTTTACTGCCTCACTCCCTGAAAAAAAGAACTGTAACAGAAAAGTTTCAATGTCCAACTACTGAAAATGCTCCACTCATTTCCTAGTGGGTGAAAAACACACGTACTTTACTGTATAGAGCTCTGAAGTCGATTTTGTGTCAGCAGGAAAAATGACTTTCACCTCTGCAGAGATCTTAGTCAACAAATCCACCACGGGACAGGAGCTGTGATCTCTGGAATTGCTGGGCACATTCTGGATTTGCCAGCATTACAATTGGGACTGTGGGACAACGTCTGGGCAGGGGATGCAGAGCCTCTCCTGATCAGAGCTCTGAGCACGGAGTGGCTGCAGGCAGCAGTGGGGCCGATTGCTCAGCTCACTTGTTTTATGGAGTTTAACAGAGCTACTTCATTTCTCCCCAGAAAGACATGTGGTATTTGAGAACCTGGAATAGGAAATGTGCACTGGTGCTGCTTCCTGCCTTTTAGAGAGAATCTAGTCTAATTTAAAACCACAGAAAGAAGGAAATTCGGAATTCAGCCTGACAATGTCCATGCTCCTGCACTAACCTGGGCACTGGCAAGTATGTGCACACGGTAATGGTACTGGGGCTTAAGATACAAGTTAAAACATTCTGTACTGAACAGGAGGCAGTTCATTTGCTGTCTATGACATAAATTATTTTATTCCCTAGCTTTTCCTTTTGGACTCTTTTCTGAAGTTCTGTAGTATTCTATTGCACTTTCTTGACACGAACTCAATTCTGTGCTCCGAATTCTTGTTTAAAAAAAATAAAACAAGTCTGAAAAAATATTTGTGCCATTCATTTGCACTTTAAGGCACAGTAGACTGAATCATTTACAACAAATGTTGCTTTGGCACTTGATAACTGAATTTGACCACTAGAACTCTTGCCTTGCCTCCAGGAAAGTAGCAGATAAAGGGACAATTTTCACTCTCACAGCTGCTGGCACAGGCCAGGTTGATTCCTAGTAAAACTCAAAACAGTTTGATAGAAAGTGCAGTTGCACATGTTCATTTTTATTGACTAGCTACCCAAAAGCCTCATGTCCAAGAGCCTTAAATTCCCTGTTTTCTCTCTCATAGGAATCCCCTCCATCCAGACTGTTCAATATCTGGAAAGAAGACAGTCACGGCTGATTTCAATGTTGGTTCTGTGAGTACTTTTTTTGGATCTTCTGTACTTCTCTAAGAAGCATGAGAAGATACCACTGTATCTAATACTGATTAGGTATAAACTGAAACTGCAGAGTGAAACATGCTTAAAAACTTGGTGAGGTTGCCTGGGCAGTCCACCTGTAAACCAACTTCCGAACTGCATGACATTGTAGTGAAGGTAACTATGTTTTATGAAACCCAATTATCTCCAAGAACAACACACCTTCTGGGAAACATTTCTTGTTTCTCAATATAGAGATGCTGCCTCAGCTGCCCTTGCTGAGGTAGAACTCGTTGGTTTGATTCAAGTGCAATGATATCATTGTATAAAACAGGTATACCTTTGTCCACTTGGCACGTGTGAATTATGTTGGCAGGCTTCCATATCTCCTATCAGTAAGACAGGAGAAAAATGGAAGTAGCATAGGGGTGAGTTTAGAACATTCTGCCATGCTTACCTTAGTGATTTCTAGCCATATAGGCCCGAGGTACTCAACTAATCTCAGAAAAGAACAGAAATTCCTGGAAAAATCCCCGTTTAGATGACTCATCTGTATTATAAAATGGGAATTACTACAAGACACATTCTGTACTTATATACTTACCGGGGATTCTGGACGTTAGAAAGGGCATTTAATCTGAATTGTGCAGTTTTTTTGTTCCTTGGTTGTTTGTGTACATGGTGTGCGAGTCTCCAAATGTTCCAGGCTCTGAATCATAGGCTTATAGCTTTAGTGGTTCCAGAGAAATAAGCATTCAAATACTATATTTCTGCATTTTATCCTCAGGCTGGCCTCTGTGGGATTACCAGTCTGTCTACACAGTAATGCACTTGTCCAAGGACCATTGCTTCAGTCCAAATTGCCTCCCTTGCTTCTCTCAGAAGAGAGACAACCAGCCTTGGGTCTGTCGGTTCTGGCAGGACAACAAGGGCTGCTGGCACACAGGCTTGTTCTGACATCCATTTATTGGCACAATGGCACACGACAGTCAAACTTGTCTCCAGAAGTGAATTGCAGGTTGCTTCTAGCAATGCACGCTACCCACCGAAGTGAATGAAATGGGGTTTGTCATTGTAATTTAAGTCTCCTTTAATACATTTCCAGATCAGAATCTGAATAAGAAGATTTGCCAGATGCCATTCTAGTGTGATTTCCTCTCTTGAATGCTCTTGGCAGATATGTAAGAATTGAATTGGTTGAATTCTGGGATAACAACAACAAAGAGTTAACACTAAGCAAGCCCATTAGTTTTAAGTTTATTTATTTTGCTTTTTAAGAAGTATTTTTCTGTTCGTTTCCATTTGCATTTTACTAATTTTTAGATAACTGAATGTTGCAATGAAGTGAAGAAATCATTTTGTGATCAGGAATTTATCCAGTTGATCCAAGCTAATAAATGGCTTGAACAGATCAAATTCCTCCCTGGTGTGCATGGTGACACGTGAAACTTGCACTTCTTTGGTCTGGTCGTGAAAGCTTTGTGCTGCACCAAACTACTGTGACTAATGTAGGAAGGAAGCCAAATGGTGCCACACTGCTGTATTAGCAGCACAGAAATGATTTATGTATGTGATCTTTCTGGATGCGTCACGAGGCCTAAGCAGACTGAGCCAGATTAGTTCTGCCAAAACCCTTCTGAGTGAGAAATACCCCACAGTTTTAGTAATGCTAAGTCCCTGCAGCACGTGACAAGCCTTGCTTTTTAAAAGTTGAGTATCTGTAAGTGACTGCCATCTTTCTTTCTTGGTGGACTGCAAAACATACCATGCTAAATACCAGGTGAAAGAGAAAACTGCTTATGTGAGCCACTGAGATGCACTTTGGGCAATGCAATGCCATGACATCGTACTGAAATTAGCTTCTATTTTTGCATAGCAATAGAAATGTTCAATATAGGCTCCGTTCTGAGCCTGCAGGTGGGATCCTATTCAGGGTGGAGAAACAAAGACAGCAGTAAAATAATTGAATCTAATCCTCAGTGAGGCTTCTTTCAAAGTTCAAAGATCTTTTCAAAACTCAGCTCAAACTGTCGTTTCCACATGTCAGCAGATCCACTTACAGTATGTGTGTAGAAGTGAGCAGAAGAGATGAGAGAACACATGAACACATACCTGTTTTTTCCTAGGAGTGGAAATCATTTTGTAATTTAAAAAGTCCTTTTTCTGAGGGCTGCCGATTTGGTTCTCAGCCATTGTGAGCTTTCTTCTGACCCTACCTGCAGAGGCTTATTTACAGCCCATGTGAACGTTAACATTTCTGCATGTCTCCTAGAAAAATGTGTTCTTAATCTCCTGCTGAATTCTTACATGAGAACACACTGAAATTTGGCACGGCCACCAGTTATTTTCCAGTAAAAAGCCACCTTATAGCAGTTGCATATGCTTTCAATTTTTAAGGTATTTAGTAATGTTTTCACCTCTAATTAGCAGAAATTTCTGGGTTTGGCTCTTTCATTCCCCTGGGAACCAAGAGTTTGGTTTTGCCAGTTGCTGGGTCATTACAGAATTCCATTCCTCGTGTTAAATGTTGCTTTTCAAGTTCTGAATGAACTTGGAACTCAGACCAGCAGCAACTGAGTTCCTGGAAAATACTGAACCGCATTAAATGCCACAACTGTCATAAAAAGAACGTTCAAGTTTAGAAAACAATCACAGAGAAATCTTGAGTAAGGATTGCTGTTTTCCTTTCTGTCCCAGGAAATATCAGTTACACACAGGTGCTTACCCGTGTCAGTAGCTGGAAGGCATGAAGTGCAGGTTGTCCCTGTGGTTCAGACTGTGATTCCTTCATCTGCTACCTGACAACTGAAATGCCAATTCCTGCTGTAAATAAAGCAAACAGAAAGTTAGACGTGATGCACTTTGAATCGGCAGAGATATTGAATGACAAAAATTGGGGTTTACAGTGGAAAATCAGTTGTCTTTTAATGGCAGCAGCCCCGCTGGCGCCACAAAAAAGTTCTCCAAAAGAAGCAGAGAGGCTCAGTGCTTGGATGGAGCACGATGTAAGGGAGCCCTGACATGGACTTGCATTGTCTCGCTTGGCTTTACGATTGTAACCTCAACAGTGCATTCTTTCCACTGGCCATTATGTGTTCTCTGCAATTTAAACAGTGAGGCCACAAAGCTAATGGAAATCGGCGTTGTTATGATTATTTTGGAGAAGCTGTACTCCTTACATTTGATATCCAGATCTGCAGTTGTAGTATTTCTACTACTGAGTCACAAAAAAAGTGAAAATCTCTTTTCAAAGAGGAAGTGTTTTTAAAGCATCTCACTCCCCCCACACACAGAGATTCATGTTACTCCACGCCAGTTTATACCTGATGAAATGTAATGTGCAGTATAAGGCTTGAATGTTAGTGCTGCTGACAGGCTGGGCATGAGCTGCAGCTGTACCAGAAGAGCTGCCCTCACTGTGCCAGGGCTGCTGTCTCATTCACAGAGACATTTCCTAAGCACTTTGTGCCCCGCTCACTTGCTGTGGGGTTTCAGTGCCCAATTTGTGATGCAGATGTTCAACAAGGAGTCTCAAGGTTTGGTTTCTTGGCCGAATACCAAGGACACTGCTGGGAACTTTTCTGTGATGATCTGATTTTGGAGTCCCATCACTGGCAGAGCTGCCAAGATACTTGTCCTCATGAGAGGACTCTGCTCATTCATTAAAGCACTGTCTGCTTGCCTCTGTCTGTGCACAATACAGACCCATCTTTCTCTGTGCCTACTTTTTCCCATTTACAACTTCCCTCTTTCATTCAGGCTGTGTTAAAAACACCTTTTATTTCTCTTTCATTTTTCTTTAAATGCATCTGATTTTGTCTTGTTCTGCCTCTGCCCACTATAATATTCTAAACATCTTTTTAGGATGAAGGTGATCTTACTAACATGAGTTAACTACTGGCAATGTTATGGTGTGGTTGTGGCCTTCACTCTTTCCTCCATTTCTCTCATTAAGGAGAATTAATGAAGATGTTGTTAAAGAAATGTATTTCCATTTTCTGTTTCCACTAATTAGTCCCAAATATGCTGAGATTTCTGTTACCGGTGTCATTTCTCTAACGCTCTGTACCAATGAACTGAGCTATCAATAGAATATCCTTTCTTTGCCAACCGCTTTATAGTTGAAAATGTTGAATCTTAGCTTGTTTCTTCATGTTACATCCAGAACATTGGAAGAGCTCTTTGGCAGGCTCCTGCTGGGCTCAGCTCCCGTTCCCTGACTTCTCTCCAGAGCAGTAAGAATGGAAATAAGCAGCTCAGAATTTTCCAGTTCAGATCAGGCTCTGTGTGTGTTAAGAGAAACAGAAGCACAACCACAAGCACAGAGCAGACCCTTGATGTAGGCAGGCTGCAGCAGAAAGCAGAACTTCGCCAGCTGAAGCTGCCAAAAGCCATCCCACGTCAGCTGCAGACATCCATGCACAGCGCTTCTCCTGCTGCAGAGATGCAGTGACACAGGTGTGCCAACCAGTCCCTGCTGTCACAGATCTGTGTGATAGGTGGCCTAAAAGCAGCTTCAGTCGTCTCTTTGTGATGCTTTCACTCTCAAGTAGTACTGCGCATAGGAAGCAATCTAGGACACCATGGTGGAGAGAAACACTTCTCTTTACTTTCTTTCAATGGGTCCCTTGGCTTCTGTTGTGGAGCTGCTTTAGTGAAGCACTGAGATCAGAGAATTGGTGCATAATGCTCATTTTAATGGGTGTTTTTTTTTGTTTTCCCCCTGACAAATCCTGAAGAGATGCTCCAGAACACCCGTTATTGAGGGGGAGGGGAAACCCTGCGTACTGAGAAGCTGAGGATTATACTGTGCTACAGAGAATATGAGCTGGGAATATGTAGAGGCAGAGAAGGGGGTAAAGGAAAAAAAGATTGATTCCTGATGTCTCTTTGAGGAGCAGAGTCCAACTCTTCCAGAAGTTAGTGGGAATCTTTCCAGCTCTTTCATGTGAGTGGGGCCGGGTCCTGGCAGTGGCACCACGTGGAGCTGAAGCTGGCCGTGTGCCATCACACTGCAGGTAAGGGATGGAGCTGCAGCAAAGCTCTCACGTGTGATAAGGACAACAAAAGATGGAAGTGCACGGCTCTTCACCTTCTTATTTGAAAATCTAGAGGGTGAATGGACGGAATGTTATCACTCTACCTACGTCTATCTCATGGGGGCTAAAGTCAGGAAGGTGACAGCAAAGAAGATGAAGGGTGGATTGGTCTCAGCTGTGCACACAGGTGAGGATCTCGGCTTGGAGCACTGAGCTCTGGTTCCTGGAAGTACTGTGCCCCATGGGCACCGGGTGCTTTGTTACTAACCAGCTTTCATTCCTGTGTTTTACCCATTTTTCAGCGTTTCCTAGGATGCAGACGCATTTCCAGATATTTTACACTAACTGAAAAGTGTGTTTTCATAGTGTGAGACCTCCCTACTTCTAGCATTTTTTCTGTCTGAAATTAGATTCTCGGCCTTGAAAGCACTGTTTGCACTTTGACTGCAGTCTTTCAAACACTTAGCATCCAAATGTGCCATTTGTATACATACTAAAAACTCAAGCTCTTGGACGCTTCTAAAAGGACAACACTCAAGTTATAAATACTCCCTCATGAGCTTCTTCTCTCAGATGTATAAGTGAACATTCTCCTTAAATAGTAACGCCGTGAGCTGTGGTAGGAATGGCTCTGCAGTGAAATGATGCTGCAGAGGTCGGTCCCTCTGAGCCACATCCTGTTTTCAGTTAACTGATCTCATATGGGGGAAATTTGTCAGAGGAAATATATCTAGTTTGGAAAGTACCAAAAACTTATCTCTCGTTTCTTTGTGTAATTCAGCACCTATTGAGATTGAGGTGCCGTATTTTCGAGAACTCTTGAGGCAGAAGTGGAGGAGCAAGCTGGCAGCCCGGATGGGTGGCCTGGAAGGTGACAGCACACAGCATCCCTTCAGCCCCAAACCAAAACTCCTCATTGGTGCAGCAGCAATCTTCCTGAAATTATCAACTTCCAAAAACTTACAATTGCTTCATCCAGAACTGCTTTTAGAACCTCTTGAAAAATGAGCTCACTTCCTGGCAGAAATGCTCTCTGCCAGACTAACTTGCTATGACTTCTCACAGCTCATTATAAAGCAATGACAGCGAACGTCTGAAGCCATACCAGCTCAGGCAGACCACAGTGTCCTCGTAGATTCTTAGCTCTGTACTCAGAGCATCCACAAATCTACGTGTAGCACAGTAGAGAGAAGTGGAGATGAAGAGCCATTACATGTGATTCTGTAAGGCAAGCCTTCTGCTCCTGCGGGTGGATCTCAGTAGTTAACTGGGTACCTCAGAAGTAGCTAATAAAACTGACACACTGCTCCTCTTCTACAAGATTGTCACCAGCTCTTGCTCACACCGTTGCTCTCACAGAGGCTGTGTGTGCAGGTACCACGGCTGCAGCACAGAACACGTGTGCTCCCATCTGCTTGTGCTGGAACAACACTGCTGAGCTGCCGCTGGTGCTTTTCACTGCTGAGATGGTGGTGTTTTGCCAAAGGGAATAAACGCTGTTCCCTCTTTGCAGTGAGGGAGGTGGAAGCATTCAGTGAGTTTGTGGTTCACCCAAATGCTCTTGTGATGTAGGGCAGTAAGCCAGATGAGTGCCCTAAAGCTGACCTGTGGCAATAGGCTCCATCCAACTCAGCTTTCCTTTTCTCTACAGTGATGCTTTCCTCTGCATCATCATTTCTTACCTGTTAAAACCTTCAGGAAAAAGAAAAAAAAGAGAAAAAAACACGCACCGCTTGCCAAAGGCAGTCTAACCCAAAGGCATGTAATTAAAGGGCCTCTGGCAAAGCGAAGGACCAAATTCTTGATCCTTCAGTCTTGCGTAGTGGTTCTGTGGTCTACAGGGTGCAGCTGTGGAAGGACACTGCCTGTGCAGCAAAGGAGCTGAAGGAGGGGTGAGAGCTGCAGATGGAAGAGCCCAAAATGGTGAAGGAGCCGGAGCAGTTACCTGCTTATGTAAAGATGCTTCTGTGTTGTGCAGATGTTCTTAATAGTTCCTGTTGTCTGCAAGGCTGCCTTGTTCCTAGAAGCTCCCTCCTTCCAATCTGTAATTTAATACAGCTCTAATCAGTTTGGTAATCTGTAATTGTGGCAAGAGGGCAATCAGCCCATGTGACAGCAGCACGCGTGGCACTGTTATCTGAGCAAACACAGCCCAGAAGCTATCAGACACTCAGTGATAACCAAGCACGGTGTGGTGCTGGCACACTGTACTTGGCTATGAATACCAGTGAGCGTTGCAGAGTAACAAACCAATGGAAGCAGCTAGGGCACGACCTCTTCATGTTTAGTTTCCTGATGGGACACCCCCAGCAGTATTCCCCACGTGTCTTTCACCGGGAAGAACGAACAGATTTGCATCTGAAACACTCTTCTTACCGAACCCCGGGCGCCGCGGTTGCAGCACATGATTTCACAGCAAACCCGCCTTATCCCGAGAGCGAAACTTCAGCTCGCAAAGGCCCCGCAGCGCTGCGCGCACCCCGGCAGCACGTGCACGCGCCTGGCGCCGGGACCGCAAAGGCCGCAGGGCCGATAGCAAAGCCGGGCGTTCCGGTTACGGCTGGGCGCACGGGCACGGGGCGGTTTTCTCTCCGACGATGCTCCGAGCGACCGGGCGGCGCCGCACCGACCCCGGGACGTAACGGCATCACCGCGTTATCCGCCGGCCCGCCGAGCCCTGCGCCCGCCCCGGGCCGCCGCTCCCCCCGCCCGATCCCGGCCGCGCCCCCCCGGGAGCCGAAGGCCGCTCCTCCGCTCCCCGCGGCGCTGCGCCTCTCCGTGCCGCCTCGGCGTGCTGAGGTAAGGGGAGCGGGGGGAGGCCCCGCCTCGTGCCGGCCCCGCCGGGGCTCCGGGGGCGGGCGCGGCAGCCACTCGGAGCCGCCGCTCGGATCCCGTCCGCTCCGCTCCGGGCCGCCCCGCCGTGCCGCGCTGTCCTGCCGGGCTCCTCTCCGGCCCGGGCCGCTCGTGGATGTGCCGGTCCCGTCCCGTCCCGTCCCGCACGCGCAGCGCGATGCTGTTCCTACGCGCACGGCGCCCGCACGCGGTTTGCAGCCCGGCTCCGTTCCGCTGTTCCCGGGCTTGGGCAGCTCGCGGTGCGCCGCTGCCCGCTGGGTTTTCATCTTGCGGCTCTCGGCAGGACCGGCGGGCCCTGCGCTCGTCGCTGACTTCCCTTGGGTACCGAGCGAGCGGCCTGAACCGCAAGGCGGAAAACGCTGCTTAAAGGGGTGTTTAAAATCCCGGGGGTGCCCAGCAGCCCGTATCCCGGTCCCACCGCTTTCCGTCCCTCGGCCGGCCCGCGGAGCCGAGAGGAATGGCACGGATGTCCGTGTGGGCTGCGGTGCTCGGAGGCGAGCTGCGGGCTCCACACACGCCGGGCTGCTGCTCACAGGGCCGCAGCTGCCGTCCCACCTCAGCCTCTCACCGCGTCTGCTGTGTGCCCCAGTACTGCAACACGGACGTGGGGTACCTCCAGCGACAGCAGTGCGAGCATTTCTGAGCAACAGCGAGACCCCCAGAGTCAGTTCTGGGTGCGTTCCCAGCGGTGTTCCATTGCTCTCATTAACCAGAAGCCGTGCTGAACATACTTGCACCTTTTCACACGAGGCACTCGGTGCTTTTGGAGGCCTTGAGGTTCCCTTTCTTCGTGTTGCTGGATGTGTTATGGCTTCAGGAAGGTCACTGTCAGCACACCTGTTGTTCAATTTCTGTGCCTATAAAGTGTAATCCCAAATTTTGGCCCCTGGAAATGGAAGATTGTTGGGGATTTACTGTACAGGAAATAATTCTGTGTGTTATGAACCGCTGGGATTGTGGCTCTGAAATGATAGAACCATTTACTTCATCTTTCTATGAACTCAAACACGAGCAGAAAACCCCAGAGCTTCATTTTAGCGTGTTGTCCATTCTCACGTTGTGCTCGAGGGAAATTTTACATCTGCACAGTAATTTCCTGCAGGTCCCTCGTCAGACCTGCTGTGACATTTAGTCATGCACGTCAGCTGCACATTCAGGCCAACAGATCACTATGACGACTGCACTGCTTCGGGGCTGTGCTGTGGCCTTGGTGCTGATGTGCTCCCTCCCAAGGCAGTGAGCAGCACCCATTTCTCTCCCCTGCTCTCCTCTTTGCCAGCAGCTCCCTTCAGATGGCTGAGAAAGCAAGCGGAGGCCCGCAAGATATCCCCAGCTCTTCTCCCGATGAAAACGAGTTTCCTTTCGGATATCCCACCAGCATCTGTGAAGATGTGCCCGAGCAGAAGTACCTGTGCAGCAACTGCAACAACGTTCTGAAGAAAGCCCTGCAGACGCTCTGCGGGCACAGATACTGCTCTGCCTGCCTGTCCTGGATTGTCCGGTAGGTCCTGACCGCAAAGCTGGCACTGCTGTGTGCTCAGTAGGTGTTGCTGCTTTCAGCTTTGCAAACAGTACATCTGCCCTGCAGGTGGGCAGTGAAGTTGCAGCAGCAATCGCTGTGTGAGCTGATGGTAGCCTTGGTGTTTGGGAAAGCAGCAGCAGTCAAGGTTCAGTGGCAGGGTTCTAGCACTGCTTCAGTAGCTTCCAGCTTTATTTTTCCTGATCCAGGCTGCTCTCGCTTTGCTGAAATACAGGTAGGATTGATGGCCTTGAGGAATAAGACCTGGTCTTGAAACCAAGCATTTATTTGCTTGGTTCGCTTCGTTATGTTTTTGTTGGTGGTTCTTGTTATTTATTAATTTATTCTACTTCAATATCTTCAATAATTGGACCTTTCGTGAGCAAAGACTGCGGATTCCGAGTGGAAATTACGTCCATGTTTTCATTTATTTTAGTGTATATGCAAAGATCCCCTGAACTCCAGTTCAATAATCCTTTGTTATTTTGCTCTTCTTTTTCCAGGAACAATAAAAATCCAGTTTGCCAGAAATGTAAAGAGGAGGATCCCAGCACTCTGAGTGAAGGAAGCCTATTGGCAGAGGAAAGGGTGAGTTGTGGTTCACAGTTCAGTCATGTATCGCTTGCTGTTCTCTGGTCTGCTCTGCAGAGCTCTCTTGTGCTGCTGTGTGGTTTCTCCAGGCAGATCACTGCACTGTTCTGTGTCCTGAGCACACACACAGGGCTCACTCCCAGCTCAGCTTCTTCCTTTCTTTCTGACTACATGCAGGAGCACCAAGACACACACATTCTGTGTACATTTGTTAGACAAGAATGAAACCCAATAGTCAGCTAGCAGCGAGGAAGAAGGCAAAATATAGAATATGGCTGCACCAAAGTAATGAATCTGCAGTTAACACTGAAGATCTCAGAAAAAAAAATATATATATCCTTAATTCTGCAATAAATTTCCCAGTAACAATTTCAGGCATCCTAGAACCACGGATGGGTGCAGCTAACCCCCTATGGAAGTCTTACTGAGCGTTGGCTGTCGGTTCTCTTACAACGTTTGGATTCTCACTGGGTCTTCTGGGACCTCCTGCAGTCTGTGGGTGGGTGGAGGTGCTGGGTGAGCTGATCTGCACAGGCAGGTTCTTGCTGGGAAGTCTTCACCACAAAGGCACGATGATCTGCCTATGGACCCATCCAGAACAAAGGGTCTGGGCTTTGTAAACAGCATGACTAACAAAGGCTGCATAGCAGGTTTGTTCTTGGCTCCGTATCTTTTCCTGATAATCTCTGCTTTACCTTTGCTGCGGTTTTACTTCATGTTTATTCCCTCTGCTATCTGATTATATGTTTATATTTTAAATAAGGTACTTACACTAGAGGAACAAAAGGCCCTATCAGGATATGTGTTTGATTATCTTATCCCCTGACCAGCTTCTGTGGTAGCTTCCGTCCCTTCCCCGCTGTTCAAGTCTTGCTGCAGTGCTGTTCATCAGGATTTCAGTGCCTTTATTTAAGTGTGGACATGATTGGTAAATACTTTTCCCTCCTTTCATTGTAAAGACTCCCTCCAGCCTCCAACTTCCTGACTCACTTCTGTGTTAGGAAATCTGCTGTCATGTGCATTGTGTTCTTATTACTGTCTTGTTCCTGTGCCAGTGTAAAATGCAATATTAAGAGTGTGCAGGGTTTATTCATTTGCAGAATAATTGTACAATTCTTGGTGGTTGCCATAAGAAAAAAGATCTATGCAGTCAAAAAACATCTGCCACGTGGTTTACATTTTGTGAGTACACAGCACTGTGGTAAATGGAAACAGCCCTTATCTGGGAAGCTTAGGCTCACTGAAGTCTCAATCCTCTCCACTGCATTTCAGGAGGTGTTGCTGACCCCAATAATTAAATACTTCCATTATAGAGTCTGCATAGCAGCACCCTCAGGATCACCTCAGCACATCCACAGCATGTGATGTGTGTCAGATTTCTGTGAAGAGGAACTCAGAGCAATAGCTGTTCTGTTGGGCATATTGGCAGTAAATACAGATGGCATCAAATGGTTTATTTTTGAGTCATAACCATGAACTGATTTGATAATGATTTGACTCTTACCAACACCAAAATACTTGCTAAGTCAAACAAATCTTGACACAGTCACTGAACTCCTGTCCCAGGAATGCATGCTGACCAGGGTTTTTCCTTCCTGCGTTTGCTTTCCAGGCCTTTGGGGATGCTGCCATTAACAAGGAGATTTCTGAGCTCAGAGTGCACTGTGTGACCCTTGGATGCAGTTGGTGTGGTACCATGAAAAACTTCGAAGTACGTTTGCATTTCCAGCTCACTGTTCTCAATACCATGGAGTCACAGACCATGGAATGGCTGAGGGTGGGAGGGACCTCGCAGCCCCCTAAAACCTTCCCTACAGCCCGCTGTGAGGGCTGCCTGCCCCACAGCTCACCCTGCAGGGCCCATCTGTGGGGCACACACAGCTCTGGGCAGTGCCAGGGCCTCAGCCCCTGAGGGAAGAACTGTTTTTCTGTTGGAGCGTTGGCCTCTTTAAGACAAACCCACCTGGTTTGCTCTGCACTGTAAATTTGAGAATCAGAGCCCCTCTCAGCAACGGTTTTGTGGCAAAAGGGATTTGAGAGCTGAGCGTGTGATGGAAATTGGCATTTCTGAGGCATTTCTTAGGGGACAGGCATCTCCTTCTGAAGACAAAATCGGCTGTGACACAGCACCCACAGAAGCTTCAGTAGAAGAGGCGGGGAGAAACATTTTCAGTTCAATATTGTGTTTGTGTGGCAGCAGAGCTGTTGGACATTGCCATGGGAGAAATCATGCTGATGTTTTTTCCTTGGCGAGATGAGAAAGTGCAAACAGTGAGAAGGGAGTGTTGTAGAAGTCATTCTGAAGGTGGGTGAGAGATGCACCCTGACTGCTGCACGGAGGCTCGATGGCTCTGCCCCCCCCTGGGGCTGTGCAGGGATGTCAGCACTCTGACTGCACTCATCCTGCAGGTCCGAGCAGCATAGAGCTGCTGTTGGAATTAATCACACGTTGTGTGGGCTTTGTCTTTTTTTTTTCTTCTTTCATGTGATTGTTTGCTTAAGTTAAAAATCATCAAAAAAAAAAAACAAAACAACAAAACAAAGCAGGAAAGACTGTGGATTTTTCAACAGTAATTTTGGTATCACTGCAGAGTGGGTCATTGCCCGAGGTTAGAAGAGATGCAAACAACGCTGCAGGGATGGGTGCTGTTTACAGATGAGTGTTTATCTGCAGTTTAAGTTAGGGTTTGTAACTTTTGGCTTCCAGGAGCATCAGATTCTGTGTGAATATGCTTTGATCCCTTGTCACACTGGCTGTGGGCACGTGGTGATGAGGAAGAAACTTGCAGATCATTTGGAAAACGGATGTGTTAATAACATGACCGTGTGTCACAAGTGTAAGCAGAGCTCATCCAGCAGCGAGTACCAAGTAAGAACGTTCATTGGTTTCAAATAAGGGTTCTGAATGAATGGCTTAATTACTTTATCATCGTGTTTTTCATCCCAATTTGCTGACTGCTGTTGCATGAGAAGTGCCTTTCGTTTCTCAAGGTTTGCTAATTTCTCCATGCTCATCTTGACATTTTAAAAGTTGCTCTTTGTTTTCCCTCGTTCTGAAGCAGCAAAGTGGTGCAGATGGTGGGAGTGCTCCAAGGACACAAAGTGAGCAAATAGAAACTGCTCTAGAATAGAAACGGTGTGCTGGGGCAGCTGTAAAGTGATAGAAAATGATGTTCTTATGTGAATGGATTGGTATTTTAGATAGATAAGAGATGCTTGTATGAAGATACAGCAGCAGTGGGCCACTGCTCTCATTCTCTCCACCTTTACCAATCAGTCACTGGTCTCATGACTTCTGCATTCCCATACCTGAAATAAACCTCCTCCAGCCCCACTGCCCCAGGAAACCAAAGATCTGAAGGAGAGACCCAGCAGTGAGTAAGAAAATAAACACACACGTTGTGCAATCACAGCATTCAAAGTGAGTTCGAGGGAGGAAAAAAACTGTGATGTTGTTTCTGGGGATCGAAAGAGAAACTTCAGAACTGAAGGTGAAATGACTTTATAAAATTCCGGACTGCTCTAGGAAATGTGCCGGCACGCGAGGGCATTTCTTAAGATCAAAACCACCCCTGTGTGGTTTGAGTTGAAAGCTGACAGTTGCTGTGTTAAATGCACAAGTTGCAGCAGTAGTGTGAACCAAAGGCAGAATTATTTTCATCTCCTCGCAGCCAGGAAAGACAGGAAGCCTGATGTTAGTTCTGATGCATTCTGCATTAGCGTGTCGTGATGGAACATTTGGATTCCTGCCTTCAAAACGCAGGATATTATGCACAAAATAATCAGGATCCAAGAAGTGTCTGCACGTGGGACAAACTGTATGAAGCCAGTTTATTTTTGGGTTTCTGTTTATTCGCTCCCTGTTCCGTTACCCACCTGCATTCACTGTGTGTATATGTGTGCACACAGTGCTCGTACTACAGTTTGAGCTGAGCAAGACCTTTACCTTGTCAGTCTTGTGTCCAACTTTGCAGGATGACTTTGCAAAGCATCTGTAAGCAGTTTTCAGAAGCTTGATGCCCTGTAAGTGTCAGATCAGAGTTGGAACTTTCATTGACTGGCATTGCATCTGAAGCTCTGTCACTGAACCGACCTGCTGGGCTGGGAGGAAGAGCTGTTGGCTTGGAAGCTTAGCTTGAGAAGCCCCCCAGTCTGTCCCTGTACAGCCAACTGCTTGGGAGGGCACAGCAGCTCCTGCCTTTAACAGATGTGCCTTAGTCCCAAATTTCTGAACGTTATCCTGTCTGTAAAGAAGCCTGAAAACACTGCAGTGTTGAATAGTGAGGTCAGTAGCAGTCATTCTCTGGACGTGTGTTGTGGAGCTTGTTGTGCTGTAGTGATCCTTCCTTTATTTTCCTCAAATCTATACCTTCTAGGAAGGAAGCAGGAGACTTGCACAGAATGTAGTGCATAAAAGCCCCTCTGAACTTCAACTGCCTGTGAAGGGGGAGTAGCACTCCCAAAGAGAAGCTGTGTTTCAAAGACTCTTCAGTAAAGATGCTCAGGCATTTTACTGATGTACTCAGTTCCTTTCTTTTTGTTTTAATGACAGAAACATTCATGTGAAGGCAATTTATATAGAGAGCAGAAGCATGTGCAAGCAGAAACACCATCAAACGAAAAGGTGGGTAAAAGATGAGTAAATACAGTACAGTTTTATTTCAACTCGTGAAATAAAATCTTCATGTAGGTGAAATGATCACCTGAGAACATCTTCAGATGTGACATTTGTATCTGGGTGCTTTTTCCATCCTGGCATAGCTCTCTTGAATAGCTTCACTTTGCTGCTCCCCAGTTAATTTATTAAATCAGCCTATTTGTTTGTAGGTAAATAAAAGAATCCCTGGAAGCTGCTATTTGATTATTTTCTCACTTTTCCAATTCTTTTTCCCCAGCAGAACCATTCTGGGCTCTCAGGCAGCACGGATGGATGTCGGTTTTCTGAGGTTGGCTGTTCCTTTGGGGTAAGTGAAAGTGCTGCCTTCCGGAGCACAGCTCCAGGGCAGCAGGCCTTGATTTAAATGTGTCTTTAAAGAAAGAAAGAGCTGTGCCCATTTTTAGTAGACCAGGAGAGGTGATGTTGGAGCTGCCATGGCTACAGGGTGTGTGTAAGGTGCAGTTTGCTCTGTGTTGTGGCTTTATTTGGCCCATGATATTTGTATGGAGAATGTATTAACCATATCTTCTTACAGGGCAGCAAAGAGGTGATAAAGGAGCATGAAAAAGCTGCAGTTGGGACTCACATGCTGCTTCTGCTGCAGTACGTAAAGCAGCTGAAGGCAAACCTGAGCACTGCTTCCAAAGCTGCAAATGGTTTCATCCCACAGACAGAGCTGAATGTGAACGGTGCAGAAAAAAGCATCTCTGGTCTGTGCATCCCAGGCAGTCTGCAAATCAATGGGGATCTGGAAGCAGACTGTTTAACCAGAACTTCTGTTCCCAGAGATGAATCTATCGTACAGCAGCTAGTGAGGGAGAAGGTGATTTCTGAGCTTGAAAATAAGCTACATGTGTTTGAGAATATTGTGGCAGTGCTCAATAAAGAAGTGGAGACCTCCAACTTGGAAATCACAGCGTTTCGGAGGCAGAGTGAACTTGATCAGAATATAATACGAGGCCTTGAGCTGAAGGTAAATATTTATGACCAGCATTGGATTTGTTCTTGCTGTATAGATAGCAAGTACTTACACATATCAGAGAGAGGTGCTGGAGAGGGGGATGGAGATGAGTACAGGCACTGAGGCTGTGCAGGGTTGTGTTCTGGACACATCAGCAGGATCCTTCTCTTGTTTTGGATGTTTTTTTCGCATGAGCATCACTAATATTTGCTCTCTGAAACCACCTTTAGGCACATGGGTACTGCCTTGTGCATTAAGAATGTGCCAAAAGAAATCAGAGGAGACCCCCAAGGATGTGAGGACCTGGGAATGATTCTGCTGCTTCTGCAGTGCGTGGGGATGGAGTTGGCTGAGAACTGTTTTGTTTTTCCTCCTAGATTGCAGAGTTGCACTGCTGCCTGACCCAGAAGGACGCAGGCCTGAGCAGGCTCCATAAGAGCCTTCTGTTCTCTGAGCAAACTTCCTACGATGGGGTCTTTTTGTGGAAGATCACAGATGTTAGCCAGAAGCTACAGGACTCAGTGACGGGCAGAGCAGTCAGTCTGTACTCACCAGGTAAACACAGCAGACAGAGTGAGCACATCTCCATCCTTTAGGATGCACTGATTTCTCTGGAATGATGCTTCTTTCTGCTCTGGATGGGAGGTGCTTTAAAATAGTTCCCTGAGCTCAGGTGCTGTTTGTGTGAAGGCATTTTGCTCTCCTGCCTGTTACTCAGGGCAGCTGTGCTGTACTCTGCCACAGAGCTGTGTTCTCCCCTGGACTTTCGTTTTGCAATTTGCCCTCTGCTGCAGCTACTTGCAGTGACATCTGCTGGATCTGCATTGTCTAACCCCCAGCCTTGGCTCTTGGTGGTGCTGAATGGTCTCCTGCTGCAGTTATCTCCTGTGTGAGAAGTGATTTAATTAGGGAAAATATCCTTATGTGGCTAATAACGGGTATTTTTTACCAAGGTATGAGGGATTAGAAGGATTCCAGCCACTGTATTCTCCCTGTTTATTTGCTGTACTGACCTGTTGTTCTCCTCATCTCTGTGGCACCAAATTTGGCACGAGTCTTTCTGTACTATGTCAGAACACTCATTTTGCCTTGTTTGCAGAGGAGGCTTTACTAATGAAGCGTTGTGATTTTCAGCGTTCTACACTGCAAAGTATGGCTACAAGGTGTGCCTGAGGATTTATCTGAATGGGGATGGGATGGGAAAAGGAACCCACATATCCCTCTTCTTTGTTGTCATGAAAGGAGACTACGATGCTCTGCTCCCGTGGCCTTTCAGGCACAAGGTAAAAAGGGCAGCATTTCACATCTGATCCGAGCTTACCCCTTCTGCTTTTGGCAGGGGACTCAGGTGAATGTGACAGTGGAGGAGGGAGCGTTTTCTCATGTTCTTGCATGATGACTTATGCACCATGCTCTATGCTTGGGTCACAATTTATCTCTGAAGTTTTTGAGTACAATCTGATAATGCAGCAATGGTGGAACAGTGAAAGTATGCACAGGTTCTGATCTCTCTGTTCAGCATCTGCCTTCCAATGGGAGTGATTCTGTAAGCCTTTCATGCAGATGATCTTACTGCTGTTTAGTAGCCAAAAAAATAGTAATCAAAGTTCTCAATCCTCACTGCATTAAAAAAGTTCATCTGTATTTGACAGAGCTTATTAACAGGGTTAATAAAAGTGATACTAAAATGGAGTCATTCTATAGGTTTTGTCTTTTATATGTGCATACAGACAGTGGAGCTGTTTTGGTTCCAAACCACAGCACCAGAATGAATATAATGACTGGAACCAAACCTGGAGTTTAAGTTGTCAGAAGAGAGAGAAAAAGTCTTTGCAACATACAATTCTCTATAATGACTTCATTTCATATCATTTCATTTCATTTCATGGGTGGCAAAGTTCAAAATATTTCATCTGGGAACTGTTACAGTCTCCCTTGTTCCCATTAATCAACCTTGTAGGCTGTGAGATGTTCATTATAGCTTACATTTAATGGTCAGTAGAGCATCCAGCTGCTCTCACAGTGTTTGCACGTTTGTCTCCAACATTTTCTGTTCAGTTTTCGGGCCAGTATCTCATCATTGCTGCATTCTGCTTTTCAGGTTACATTTATGTTGCTGGACCAAAACAACAGAGAGCACATTATTGATGCATTCCGCCCAGACTTGGCTTCTGCTTCCTTTCAGAGACCTGTGCACGACATGAATGTTGCCAGCGGCTGTCCCACCTTCCTCCCTCTGACCAAACTGCAGTCCCCAAAGCACGCCTATGTGAAAGAAGATACACTTTTCCTTAAATGCATCATAGATACAAATTAGTAACTTCTGAAACCTGAGTGTCTGGTAAATCACCCACTGCAATTCATTTGTTTGCAAGAAAAGAAACATCAGTTTGAGGCATTGCATTGGTCTGGAGAGCTGGGCCTGCGTCCCCCTGCACTGACTGGGATCAGCTGGGTCTGCCTGCTCGCTGTGGTTGCTGCTGGGTGTGCAAACACACTGCCCACACAGAGCATGCTATTGCACGTGGGGGCTGTGATTATGTCACTGACCAGCCCAAACTCTGCTTTAGATGTAGATCACAGCTGCTCCCCTTTGCATGCACAGGTGGGTCGAGGGGAGCTCCTTCCCCACATTGCCCAGGTGTGCTGTTCTGGCAGGGCACCCTGGGGCTGAGGGCGGTGTGCTGCAGAGCTGCAGGGCTCTGCACACCCTTGGGAGCAGCAAGGAGTGCTGCTCCCTCTCCCACCATTCCCAGGTTTGATGTACCCGTTGTGCTGCCTGCACTGTGGGACTTGTGCTGCTCCCCAGCAGGGATGGGGCAGATCCCTCCCATAGGCTCTGGGTGGGTGTCTGTGCTTTCTGAGAACCCTGAAAGCTGTGAGCTGTGGGTAGCACTGGCAGCTTCAAATCCTTATACTGGATGATTTATTTCTTGCTATTTATGTACCTGTATTTATGTGCTCTGTATGGAGATGCTCTGCTGCATGAGGAATGAAACCAGGTTACACTGTGCCTGGGGAAAGTTGCCTCTGGTGTTTCCAAAAGTGGCACTCTGACTTTCCCACCTCAGCCATGGAGCTGTGGGGGTTAACAGCAGGCAGGGCCAGGCTGGCAGCTCAGCAGTGGGAAGGAGCCCTGGGGGGCTTGGGCTTAAAGTGCTCCCTTACTTCTGAAGCTTTGAGGCAAGCGACTTATTAGGAAATATTGATCTTTTATGTGCTTCACATGCTAACATGGAAGTACCTGCTAGAAATGTTTTTCTTTAAGAGGTGAGGAATGAATAAAAGTTATTTTTACAATCAAGTTAAACTTGGAAATGTTTGGATGTATGTGAAATTCAAATGCTGGACTTTATCCCCCAAAAAGCACTAAAGCTGGTGCTCTCCATTTGCTGCTTCAGAACCTGTTGGTGGATCAGTGCAGCTGGGCTGGGTTTGGCTGCAGCACTTGCTGGTCCATGCCTGGTCAATGCCTTCAGTGCAGCTGCTGCTCCTGGCCTGCAAGGCATTCTGCAGGATGGGTGCAGGCGTAGGATGCAGACCCAAGGCCTGATCTTGCAGACAGAGGCAGGTGTTTATTTATGATTGAAAATCTTTTATGTAACTATATTCCTTTTTTCCTCTTCAATATTTCCCAAGAATCACTCGAAAAAGCAAAACTGGCAGAATTGTTATACTCACTGCATGAGAAGGGAAAGGGGAAACTGTCCATTGAACAACCAAGGAACAGCAGCTGCCTCAGAGCTGCTGCATGCCCTGTGCTGCATGCTCCCCCCAGACCTATGGGCACATTTTCCAGAACTCTCCCTTCTATCTCAACAGTGCCCTTTTCATAGAGTCGTTGGGTTGGAAGGGATCTCAAGGATCATGAATCTCCAGCTCCCCTCTCACATGCAGGGCCACCGACCTTCACATCTCATAGCAGACTGGGCTGCCCAGGGTCTCATCCAACCTGGCCTTGAACACCTCCAGGGACAGAGCATCCTCATTTTACACAACCAGTTGTGATGAAGTGCCACATTTCAGAAAAAAGCCCAACAAACCCACTTCATAAACAAATATCTGTCATGGGCTGTTTGGGGAGGAGCTGAGTGTTCTTTGCCATCACACACGCACACTCACTGTCATTTTTCTCTCATGTTTAAGACATTTTTCAGGGACAGAAAGTTATTTTTCCAGCACTGTGCCAGACCTCCCGCCCACACTGCAGTAATGTGCCTAAAAATATTTTCCTTTTCATGGCTGTGTAATTCTGACAAGTGCTGTATTTATTCTAATCATTCATATTTTCTTACTGTCTCGTTTATTCCCCAAATAAAGCTCACAAGCATAAAAAAGGTTTGTGTATCATTTTAACTGCAGGAGAGGGAACTGAGCAACCCGGGGATGTGATACAGCAGCTTGCAGTGGGAATTGCTGAGCCGTGCTGCAAACCCCACTTGTTGCTGTGAGGCAGCGGTGGGCTGAGCTCTGACAGCAGTGGTTGCTGCTTTGGGGGGGGTGGGAGGGTGGGGGTCTGCATCCTTGCTCTGCTTCAGGCTTGTTTGCAAAACACACCTCTGTATGGAGCTGCTGTCTCGTAGCAGAAAGGGAAGGGCTGTCCTTGGGTGTGAGAGGGCTGGGGAAAGAGAAAGTGTGTGGGAGAGCTGCAAACACGCGTTGGTGCAGAGCGCTGTGTGTCTGCGTGCACGTTTGTGCTGCTGGTGCAATTAATGGAGGAGTCCAATCAGAGCTCGTTGTGCATGGAGCAGCAAGGGGCCCTCGAAGAGCACAGCAGAGCTCATGGCTGCTGCTCCCTGATTGCAGCCTGGGGCTGTGAGAGCCCTGTGGGAGGGAAGGGCCCTGGGCTGTGCTGCCATCACGGCCTCACACCACTCTTCATGTGTTCCATTTCATCTTTCTTTTTTCTTAATTTTTATGCTGGGGTGTCTTTGCTGAGCCGAGCTCAGGAACTGCAGACGTGTACACAACGTATCTGTGTCAAAGTTATGTAACCCCTCCATTAATATAAACCTTGCCCAGCTGCAGGAACGCTTACAAGCTCCTCGCCTCTTATGCAATTGCATGGGAGCACACAAAGCTAAGCTTAAAAAAAAAAAAAGGACATGGATTAAGTTCATACTAAGTAAATAAAAGACACGAAACCCAACGCCTTGATGCTCTTCCTCTTAAAGGCACAGCTGGCACGGAGCAGCTGGATGTCAGATGCAACCACCCCTCATCACAGCCACACACCTCAGTAGCCCCGTGCACAGCTGCTGGGAGCACAGCTTGCCCGTGCTGGCTGAGCAGTTGGCTCTGGGGGAAGGACACTGAGTGTGTGGGGCTGCAGGAAGCACTGAGCAAGGTGAGCTGTGCCAGCGGCCAAATGCAACTTGTTGTGGCTGCTCCCATTTGCACAAGTGGGTGCTATGGTGCTATTCACCCAGCTGGGCGGAGATGGCACTGGGGTGGTTGGAGGCATGGAGCCTCGTGATCTGTGTGTGTTGCAGTGCACATCCTTACTGCACGTCGTACCTCCAGGCCCGGCAGTGCTGTGGTGCAGCCTCGTGTTTGGGCTTCCATTCAATATTCCTTGCCTCTGGTTACGAGCCAACACAAAACCCCTCCTCCCATTCCTGTTTGCAAAGGAAATAAAATGTGGGGAAAAGCCACCGCCATCAGAGCTGCGCTCAGAGCACCATTGGAAGGACAGCGTGGGAGCCCTCAGCATCCCTGCTCCATGGGCACAGGGTGTGGAGAGAGGCCTTGGGGACAGCGTGGGGCTGTGGGACAACGTGCCACTGAGGTTTTGTGCAAACCATTCTGTAGGGACTGCATTGGAAATGCAACGACAGTGAAGGATCTCCATGGTGAGGAGGTCAGCGTTGTTCAAACGAGCCCAGAGGGCACTGCCACTGTGGGGTGCCCCCGTTGGTGATGTTGTCCCATCTCATTAAAAGGGTTTGGGCATCTCTCAGTGCCTGTCTGACCTCTCCCATCACCCACACTTCCATGGCCAACGACCTGGGTGCTGCACACACAACCACAATGGTTGAGGAGGTTCGGGGAGAGCACTGCTGACCCAGCATCGCACCCTCACACCCAGACCGGCTGCCTGTGGGCCCGAGCATAGCTGCAAAGTGCAGGGACTGGAGCAGCAGTGTTTGCCCACAGGCAAAATTCTGGTGCAGGAGTTATTTTAATCCCGTGGTGACTCACGGCTGCACACTGTGACTCACTGCAGGGCTCAGCCGTGGGGCGCCTGGAAGATGTGTCAGGTTCTCTGTGCAGGATAGGGCTGCAGGCAGCGGGAAGGAGCTGCCAGTTTTTGGCTGCTTATGGCAAACATGGCCTGGCCTTGGGGAACTGGGAGGAAGCACAGCATGGCTCAGCATGGCATGGCATGGCATGGCACGGTGCTGCATGGTCTCTGACCCCTACAAGGACAACCCAAGACTATCTGGACCACTCTTTGGATTATTCGGACCATTTCTGGATCTCAGGAAATCCCATGCTGGGTTTTGGGAGCTGTGCTGCAGATGCTGCATTTGTTGCTGGCACGGCTGCTGGAGCGCTCCCATCCAGGATCTCTGAAATGCAATGAATCACCCCAAAATGCAATGAATCACCCTGAAATCCGCACTTTGCCCTCCCCGCTCTCACTCCCCGCACAGGCAGTTGGCGGCCGCAGCGCCGGCGGCCCCACGTGTTTCTGAACCCGTGCGGAGCCGCCCGCGGCACAACGCGATGCCAGCGGTTCTGGGAGGCTCCGGTTTGCAAAAAGAAACAACGACAAAACTCCTCCGAAGAGAACAGAATTCCGCAGCCGTCTTCGAGAGGTGACTTTAGCACCGATGCGCCGGGAGCGGCTCCTCGTGCGCTGCTTCCACGCAGGTGCGCGACGAACGGCGGTGCGCGGAAGCCCTGCGCGGGGCGGCGGAACGGGCACGGAGCGCCTCGCTCCGAACCTGGAGGATTCGCCGCCGCCCGATCGGGCCTGGAAACGTTTCTTTTTTTTTTTTTTTTGGCAGCGCTCTCTCGCAAATAGCAAACCCTGCAGCCTCCGTCTCGGCACCGCCCGGAGCGCTTTTGCACCGACGGATTTGTTTCGGTTTTCTTTTTTTTTCTGCTTGGATTCGGAGAAAAACGACCCCCGGTTCCCGGAATCCCGGCGGGCGGCAGCACGGGCCGTTCCCTGGCGCGGGGCCGGGCGGCGTTTGGGGCACCCCGGGATGCTCCGCGCCGCGCCGCTCGGAGCTCCGGGAGGCGGCCCCGCGCTAATTGCATAAGCGGGACGTCAATGCCCGCGGGAAGCGCGGGAAGATGGCGCCCC